GTGTTAATATGCCTTTTCCAGGATGTTCTATGGAATATTTGGACCCAGAATGAATAATTCAGGAATGAAGTTGACACAACTTGCTGGAGGGAGTCCCTCTGTTTTTTTTCAACATTGAATCTAGTTTCCGTTAGATTTGTTTAGCATTGCAATCAATGGATTACAGTACCATCACTTTTTAGGTTTTCTTTCCAGGATGCATTTTGGTCTTTCGAGGAACATGCGGTGAAGATTTTGCAGGGAGTTTTAATCTTTATTAATTGTTTTTCCCCTTTCTTCTTTGGTTATCACACTTTATCCTTTTTTCCCTTATACTGAAGTCTTGAGTCTACAAATCCTATTTTATGTGTTTTTAGGTTGGGATTATAAATGACTTGGACTAAGAGCGACAAGGGAGTACAATGCGTCTTCGACACTTTGCTGTGTTCTAAGTGCTATTTTAGTTTTGTTTTTGTATCCTGTACGCTTTTATTTTTGTAATAGAAGCATATGGTCTGAGCTCAATGTGTTAATGTGCCTTTTCCAGGATGTTCTATGGAATATTTGGACTCAGCATAATTCAGGAATGAAGTTGACACAACTTGCTAGAGGGAGTCCCTCTGTTTTTTTCTGTCCTTTCCATGATGCTTTTTAATTTTTAATTGTGTTTAGTTTAAGTTTCTGTTAGTTTGTGTTTTCTGAACATGGATATGAGAGAATCATTTTTTGTTTTATATTTTCAGAAAAGAAAGTGATGTGTGGGGACTTGGATTAAACCCGGAGTGTTAAATGCATTGCTTACTCCCTCTTTTACTGCTTACATTATTTTTCTTTGCATTAGATACAATGATTTTGTCTTAGTTTTGGTTGCCATATTTTTTCCAGGAGCATATGTTTGAACTACAAGCCTTCTCCTCTGCATGGATTAACTGAGTAACTTCTTAAATATTGCTTATATTTCTTTCATCTCACAGTGTTGGATAAATTTATTTTTTCTTCATTGTGATTTGATTATTTCTGATGCTTTCCTACTGGTTCTGTTTTGTATAATTGGGCTTACAAATTCATTGATTGTTTGTAGAAAACATGGACTAACAAGAGAATTAACCCCAATGGTGCTTTTATCCATGTCTTTATCATGATGATGCCTTGAACATCAAATCAAGTGCTTTTTAAATATGTTTTGCATTGCAACAAACACTTTATTATTGCACTGCATATTTAAGTTTTGTTTCCAGGGTCCATTTAACTCTTTTGAGGAACATATGGTGAAGATATATCAGGGAGTGTTAATCTTTATCTATTGTTTTCCTGTCTTCTTTAGTTGCATAACACATGTCTTTTTTTCCCTTAAATTGAAGTTTTGAGTCTACAAGTCCTATTTTGTGTTTTTAGGTTCCGATTATAAACGGTATGGACTAAGAGTGACGAGGGAGTACATGATGTTTTCGATCTCTTGCTGTATTCTAAGTGTTGTTTTTGCATTTTGTACTTCTTTTTTTTTTTTTTTGGGGTAATAGAAATGTGGGGTTTGAGCTCAATGTGCGCATATTCCTTTTCCAGATGTGCTAAGGAATATTTGGACTTAGCATAATTCAGGATGAAAGTTGACACGACTTGCATGGGGAAGTACCTCCGGTTTTTTTCTCTCTTTTCACCATTCATTGTTCTTTCAATGCTTGTTATTTCTTATTGTAATGTGTTTTGATGAGTGTTTAGTTTAAGCTTCAGTTGGTGTATGTTTTCCAGGAGCATGGACTTTCAGAGATTTATTTTTCAGAAAAGAAAGCAATGTGTGGGGACTAGGATCAAACGAGGAGTGTTAGATGCATTACTTACTCTCTCTTTTCCTGCTTACATTGATTGTCATTGCACTAGATACAATTGCTTTGTTTGAGTTTCAATTGTTGTATTTCTTCAGGAGCATATGTTTGAACTACGAGAAATCTTCTTTGCATGAGGTTAACTGAGTACATTTTTAATCCTTTCACCCTTCAATGCTTGTTATTTCTTATTGGATTGTGTTTAGATGAATGTTTAGTTTAAGTTTCAGTTGGTGTGTGTTTTCCCGAAACATGGATTTTGAGAGAGTTATTTTTTATTTTTCAGTAAAGGAAGCAATGGTGGGGTCTAGGATCAAACCAGGAATGCTGAATTCATTACTTTCTACCTCTTTTCCTGCTTACATTGTTTGTGCTTGCATTAGATACAATAATTTTGTCTGACTTTCAGTTGCTGTATTTCTTTCAGAAGAATATACTTGAACTGTGAGGGTCTTCTTCTTTGCATGAGTTAATGGAGTATCTTCTTGATTCTTTGATTTCTTTCCTCACATGGTGTTCGATAATTTTATTTGTTCTTCGCCGTGATTTGTTAATTTCTGATGCATTCCTTCTAATTCTGTTTTCTATCACTGGGCTTATAGTTTCTGTAAACGTTTGAAGAAAATGTGCACTAACCAAATAATTAATGCCATGAGGTTTTTCCAGGAGATAATTGAAGAAAAATTGGCACAAGGAACTATTGGTAGGATTCTGATCAACCAATCAAGGGCTGTACTAATTTGTGACGAGGTCTTGTGGGCTTGTTTTGTGAAAAACTTACTGGCTGGTTGTTTAAATTCTTTACTATCTATTTTCTATCACTGGGCTTATAGTTTCTGTAAACGTTTGAAGAAAATGTGGACTAACCAAATAATTAATGCCATGAGGTTTGTCCAGGAGATAATTGAAGAAAAATTGGCACAAGGAACTAATGGTAGGATTATAATCAACCAATCAAAGGCTGTACTAACTAATGGTAGGATTATAATCAACCAATCAAAGGCTGTACTAACTTGTGACGATGTCTTGTGGGCTTGTTATGTGAAAAATTTACTGTCTGGTTGTTTAAATTCTTCACTATCTATTTGTCTTATCCATTTATGACTTTTAGTGCTGGGATATGATCTTTATAGGACTGTTTTTACAAAATTTTTTATTTTAACTTATGGTGGAGATTGGGGTTGATGTGTTAGGAAACAACCGTGGTGCTCTGATCCATGTCTTGATCATGACGATGCTTTCAATATTGAATCAGGTGTTTTTTAAGTTTGTTTTGCATTGCAATTAGCTATTTATAATATCATCACTTATTTTAGGTTTTTTTTTCCCAGACACATTTAGCTGTTTTGTGGAACTTAAGATGAAAGATTAATCAACGAGTGTTAATCTTTATCTATTTTTTTGTCTTCTTTCTTTGGTTATAACACTTTATTCTTTTCTTCTTTTCCCCCTCTTTAATTGAAGTTCTTGGGTCTACAGATCCTATTTTTATATGTGTGTTTAGTCTGTGATTGTAAATTACATGGACTTAGATTAGTTGATTACCTGACTTTTTCAACAACTTTCTGTGTTGTAAGTGTTATTTTGTTTTGTTTTGCATTTTGGACACTTTTTTTTTTTTAAATAAAAGTGATGGTCTGAGCTAGATATATGCATATGGTTTTTCCAGGATGTCATAAGGAGTATTTGGACTGGCATGATTCAGAAATGGAAGCTAACACAACTTGCATGGGGGAGTGCCTCTGTTTTATCTCTTTATATATATGTGTGTGTGTGTGTGTGTGTGTGTGTGTGTGTGTGTGTGTGTGTGTGTGTGCATTCTTCTTTCAATGGACTTTGAGAGTTATTTTTTGTTGTGTTGTGTTTTGTTTAGATGAGGGTTTTTTTTTTTTCAGTTGGTGTTTTCTAGGAACATGGAATTTGAGGGTTATTTTTTATTTTTCAGAAAAGAAGGCGATGGTGGGGTCTAGGATCAAACCAGGAGTGTTACATGCATGACTTACTCCCTCTTAACCTGCTTACATTGATTGCTGTTGCAGTAGATGCAATTGTTTTGTCTAAGTTTCAGCTGCAGTATTTCTTTCAGGAGCATATAGTTGAACTGCAGGAGTCTTCTTCTATGCATGATTTAACTGATTACCTTCTTGATTATTTGATTTATTTTTGTTTCATGATGTTGAATAATTTTATTTGTTCGTCATAGTGTTTGTTAATTTCTGTTACTTTGCTTCTAATTCTGTTTTCTATCGTTGGGCATACAGTTGGATTAAATTCTTGTATAAAACGTGGACTAAGAAAAGAATTAATGCCATGATATTATTCCAGGAGTTGGTTCATGAAAGCATGGAGCAAGGAACTAATGGTTGGATTATAATCAAGGGCTAGTTTGTGAGTGTCTTTACTGAGGCTCTAATGGTTTTTACGGTTACTTTTCCGGCTTCAAATTTGTACTCACCGTCAGGGTCTATTTTTTTCCCCTTTCTTTTTTATCTCTTTCTTGTTACAGTTCGTCTTCTCTTCTATTGATCTTTTGCAGATGTTTTGGAAAATAATGCAGCAAGTGTCTCGTAAGTTGTAACTTTACTCTCTTTTTTTTTTTCCTGTTTTATCCACAATCTGATATTATTCTTCAAAGGCATAATTGGCGGCTGCTTTTTCCTTGCCTTCTTCAAAAGGAATGTGTGGGGACTTGGATTAAAGCAAGTGTGCTTAAACCAAGGATTCTCTAAGCCTTCTTTGTGGGTTTGTATGCTTTTACTAGTGGCTTCTTTTTATCTATTTGTCTTGTTAAGTAATGGTGGTATTCGAATACTGCCAGACTAAAGATACCAAACACCATATTTGATGTGTTTGCTCAGGATTTTTCAGAAGATGGGGCTTACTTGACTGTAGGGAGTTATTGACGGATGGCTATTTTCCCCCTCAGCTATTATGTGGTGAAGCTCTATTCTGTGCTTTTCATGGATTGGTGATAATTGAGTCTTGGACTTTTTTATTGACCGCATGTTTTTCACTTTGGTTTATGGGTTGTTTGCTTTTCGGCTGAACTTCTGCTATTAGAAGGCGTTGAATATATGGTTCAAGTACATCACTGATTGATTTCTGGTACCGTGGTCTGGTTAGGATTGCTTTTGGTTATATGGAATCAAATCAGCCATTTGGTCAAGCATCTCTATCCATTGGATGATTGTTTGCTCATTAGGAAGTGTTGGCTATCTTCTGACTTGTGTACATGTCCATCACTGGTGCTTTATCCGTATGTTCTTTGTGTTCTCGTATCAGATTGTTGTTTTGGTATTGTCGCTGGTAATTCGATAACTGTTGCTCTTGGTGGAGGTAGCTAGATCTTCAGAATTATGTAGCAAATTAAGATTAAAGAGCATCTTGCACGAATTCTGTGATCTTACAGGCATTGGTTTGGTTTTTGTTGCTAGCTCTTATGACGCACTTGGGCTTGTGGCTGCTTCCAAGTTTTTGCTTCATATAACTTCTGGTTACGCGCATATTTGTTCTTAAAGTTGCTATTTTTTTAGGTTTTCTTCTAAAAGCGTTTGACCACCTGTTTTGTAGTTGGGATCCAAGTCAAGCAAATATTAGCGAGGCAATTCTTGATTTCTGTTCTTTCCCGAGGGCATCTTTTTGATCCCTCAATAATCAGGGTAACAAGGTTTATTTTCATGCTGGTTTAAGTTTGTTTTCTTGTTCTAACATCCTGAAACTAGAATTGGAATGAGAAGGGTGGATTTTTGGACTTTTGCTTCAGTGATCTTGAATATTCTTAATGAGAACCTTCTTTTGAAGGTTTGTATGGCTTTTTCAAGTGGTTGCGTTTGCCTCTTTGTCTTGCTGATTAATGGTAGTGTGCAGATTCTAGCTGGCTAAAGATTTTGATGCATGTGAAAGCCTCCAGTTCTTCATGAAATCTATCGATCACAATCTTTGTTGTGTTTGCTCATGGTTTTTTATGGGGTAGTTGATGCTTATTTAACGGTGGCGTTTACTTGGCTGTTGGAGTTATTGATTGATGGTTATTTTGCCTCCCAGTTATTATGCGGTGAATCTCATGAGTCATTGATGGTTAAGCTCTGGAAATTTCTTTTGACTTGGAGTGCTTCACTTTGGTCTGTGGTTCTTCATTTTCTGGTGGAACTTCTGCTATGAGAAGTGGCTGATTATATGTTCCAAGTTTGTTGCTATTGTCTCTGGTAGCCTGGTTTCTGTAACTGATTGATTTCTGGTTTCATGGTCATGGTTAAGATTGCTGTTGGTTATATGGAATCAAATCAGCTAGTTGGTCAAGTAATTATGGTGTTCTCTTGCACCTCTAGCCTTCTGATGGTTATTTGCTCTTTAGGAAGTGTTGGCCATCTACTGACAGTGACTTGCATACATGTCACAAATGAAGTTGTTATGTTTGAAATTGTGCATTGTTTGTCGCTGGTGCTTTGTGTTCTGGTTTCAGATTGTGTTAGTTTCACCAGTAATTCGTCAAGTGTTGTTCTTAGGGGAGCTAGAATTTTGAAAACTATGCAGCGAAATATGATTTAAGGGCATGTTGCAAGGATTTTTTGAATGCTTGATTCTGTCAACTTACTGGCTTAAAAACTTCACCAAATTCATCAAGTGTTGTTCTTAGTGGAGCTAGAATTTTGAAAACTATGCAGCGAAATATGATTTAAGGGCATGTTGCAAGGATTTTTTGAATGCTCGATTCTGTCATCTTACTGGGATAGTTTTTATTGCTTGCTTTTATGATGTGCTTGGGCCTGTCACAGTCTCCCGTAATTTGCTTCTGCATGCCTCTGTGTGTGATTGTACTTTGTGTGGTTGTATGCATGTAACTCCGCCTGTGTTGCATAACATGCAGCTCACAGCTGGTCTCAAGCCCGGGCCAAGGAGGAGAGGTGCAGTCAAAATATAATGTATGATGATTGAAATATTTGCTCATGATGCAATGTCTAGCAGCTGATCTTCCTTTTGCTTTGTTAATACATTCTTCCCCTTTTTTAAAACTTCAGCGAGGGTGATGTGATGTGTTTTTGTAACCTTTTTTGTTTTATACATCTGTGATCAGGGTAACCAGGACTCCGGATATTTGACATTTCAATAGTCAATCTTCATATTCTTAAATCAGCTAAGCTTGGGGTGCTGTGAAGTGATGTGATAAGCTGAGACTTTGTTTCTTCATGGTAATAAACTCACCTACAAAAAAAAAAAAAAAAAAATGATGCTTTGGGGTTAAGGACGTAACTTGTAGTTGCTGAAATCTCATTTCATCCATATATGTTCTCCTGATTTATGTTTCTCTCAAATTTGTTCAATATGTCCTCAAGACAATGATGTTTTCGACAACAATAAGTGTTTCAATTTTGTTTTTGATCGTGTGTTCTTTTGGATCCCATCGAGCTGACATTTGAGCAAAAGGGCTTAACAAGTAAAGGAATTAAATCCCGGTGTTTGCTACGGCTTAAGGAAGTGGTTTCTGTTATTGCTTCTGTCTGCTTCAAATTTAAGCTGCCTAGAGGGGCCTTTTTTCTTTCCCTCTCTTTGAGATGTCTTTCATGTTACAGTTCTTACCTGAAATTTCTATTTATAATTTTGTTGTTCTACTTAAACTTATGATCCAATTACAAACAGTTTCAAAGGCTGGCTGAATGAATTTATGGATGGTGGAAGGTGTTAAGCTCTCTCGTTAGTATTTGACCTAAGGAAAGGATTTGAAGAAGGTTGGTTACTTGTCCATATGATTGATCTCAACTGAATTTGATAACCTCAACCCTATAAAATAAAATAAAAATTAAAGAATCGTAACCTTCCAGGAAATTTCATGTTTCTTTTGTGAATCCAAGCAATGCCAGCTAGCATTTCAAATTCAGTCAGAAATTTCATGAAGTTAAATGGACCAAACTCTGACGCTTTGGGTGTTTCATTATGGGCGCACAGTTCCTGAGTTCAGAACTCCCTTCAATTGAATTTTATTTTCAGGCGTCTACTCTGTTGATAGTTGAAACAGACTTGTACCTGCCTGCTGAGAAGTTTTTGTGAAGAAATATTTAATCTGGCATGTATGTCAGGTAAAGAAATAGACTATTCTTGGTCTTCATTTCATTAATTTTTAAGTTAATTGCAAGGTATGCCTGAATTTGGAGCAAAAGGATAACTACGGAATTGTTTATTGGTGGTAAGCACTACTGAAGCTTGGATTATGTACAATGTCTCTGATCATATCCGACGGGTTGCTCTGCAATTTCTGAGATTGTCAGCGTGTCAACAGGCCTCATGCCCTTATTTCTTAGGCTTGTTACATGCAGAAAAATATTGCATCAAAAGCAACCTGTACAGCCTCTGGCTCCCTCTTCACTGTCGTGTATGCCAATTTAGGTCCTGTGCTGACACAGCCAGGATGAACGCAGTTAATCAGCATACTATGGTGCATTTTGGCACACGCACTTGTGTAAGCATTGAGGGTGGCCTCGGAGAGATGCTATAAGCTGGCAGCATTGATGACCTTTCACCAATTTAGATCCTGTACTGACACAGCAAGGATGAAACTCTCTTTTTTTTTCCTTTTTTTTTTTTAATGCGTATCGTGTAAAAAAATTGAGTTTTTAGTTTAAGGTTCAGTTTGGTGTATTTTTTCAGGGAACATGGACTTTGAAGCAGAGAGCTATGCACATGATCATGGTTTTTGGAACTTCCAATGCTACAAGTTACTCTTCAATTCTGTTTTTCTCTCTTTTATAATTTATACTAGTTTGATAGAGAGAGCTAGAGCCTGAGTTGATTGTGTGATCTTCCAGGATCCCATCAAGTGTTTGATAATCAGCACTTACTCTCTGCAGATTGCTTTGTCCTAAAGAAGTCGTATTTTTGTTACTTACATCATGATGTTTTCAACAGCTTTTAATGTTCGTTTTTTCATTGGATCGACAATTTTTTTCTAGTTATATTTCAGATAACCAGAGTCTGATGGTCTTCTACGTGTGACTTAACCGAGTTCCTTCTTCATTCTTTCGTTTAAATCATTAGTTTATTGCTTCATTGAATCCAGTTGCTTAGTCTAAGTTTCAGTTTTTTTTTTTTTTTTTTTACACTTACAAGAGCATAGATTTGAACATCGATGGTCTTCTACGTGTGACCTTAGCCGAGGTCCTCCTTCATTCTTTCGTTTAAATCATGATGGACCAGATGCTTGCATCAATTTGTAATTCATAACTCCTAATTCTGCTTTGTATCACTGGTATTAGGGTTTTAATTGATCGTTTGAAGAAAACATGGGCTAAAAAAGGATTAATGCCATGAGTTTAATCGAGGAGATAATTCAAGAAAATAGGGACAAAAGAGGAACTAATGGATGGAAGTGGTTGACCATATAAAGAAATGTCTGCTTGTTTATGATGGCGTTTTGTGGGGCTGGTTGTGTGAGAAACTCTACTGTCCAGAGTATGATGATGCTTTCAACATTGAATCAAGTGTTTGTTAATTTTGTTCTTGCATTGCAATGAACAATTCATAAGTTCGTTACTAAATTCTATGGTTTTGTTTGTGGGTATTCTTCAGGACACTTAGCTCTTTTGAGGAACGTATGGTGAAGATTAATCAGGGAGCATTGATCTTTATCTATTGCTTTCCCCTTGTACTTTCGTTGTCGTACTTAAATTCTTTTTTTTTTTTTGAAGTCGACATGTCTTCTTTTTAATGTTTTTATAGGTTGTCTTTATAAACTATGTGGACTAAGTGTGACAGATCATGTCTTCTTTTTAATTGTTTTAATGTTTTCTTTACTCTTTTTCTTGATTCATTCTTCTTGCAATGCTTGGAATTTTTTATTGTAGTGCATTAAGATGGATTGTTTAGGTTAAGCTTCGGTTGGTGTGCTTTCCAGGAACATGGACCTTGAAGGAGGCTTGATGTTCTCGAAACTTCTAATTTCATAAGTAATTCTTTAGTCTGCGTTCTGCATCTTGTATCATTTTATTCTAGTTTGCTAGAGCCAGCAAGTGCTTAGCTAATGGTGTGATCTTCCGGGATCCTGTCAAGTGTTCTATAAGGAACTCAAAAATAACCCCAAGAAGTTTTACTGATTGCGGGTTTGCTTCGGCTTAAGGCAGTGATTTTTTGGTTGCCGTCAACCAGCTTCAACTCAAAGCTTTAGTTAAAAGGGTTCTTTATTTACTCTTTTGTCTTGATACATTTTCCTTACACATCACCTACGAACTTTCTCAATAATTCTTATGTCTGTTCACTTTCACATTGGAAGGAATGAAGCGGACATAGAAATAGATTGAAATCTTACGGTCGTGGAGAAGGTTTTGACACGAATTTTTGGAACTGAGAATTACTATATGATAAAATACGATTTTCTTTCCTTTACTCTTTATTATGTATATAGTAATGTGGTGGGCTAAGTGATTAGAGTGCGTGCTTCTGTTTATAGGTTAAATAATTAGAATAGCTCTCCCCTCCTTAATCTTTCTAATTAATTAACCTATAAACAGAAACACGTATAATGCTAGAGATATTTAATTATTTTTATTAAGATTGTTTTATTAAACCATGTTACATGATTGGTGATTTATTAGTTAATACATTTTATAATTACATTATTAAATATAATAAAATTTATATTCTACCTTATGTTGCAGAAGGAGTGGTAGAGAAAATATTTTTTATTCACCAGATCAAGAGTTTTGTGTTTTACCCTTGAAAAAAAATATTTTTTTTTTTCATATAGCACTAGACATGGATTGTTAGTAAATTTTTTTTAAAAAAAAATCTGATTTTTAAAATTAATTAAAAACTAAATATGAGATACTATTAATCTAATTTAAAAAATAATAAATTTAATTTCAACTAATATAAAACGAGAATATCTCGTTACCAAACATTTTAGCAAACAGAAGCTTTGCATAAAACCGTGTAAACAAACATTTACGTTGAGCAAGGTTTAAGTTGCCCAAATGTTTGACCAAGAAAACCCCAAAACCCACCATACCAAGAAATTGCATGCCATTAATTGCCAGCTATATCAATACAGTTTGCTGCCAGCGTAGAAGAGAGACCGTAGAATGGCACATCAACATGTGAACATGTGATGGGTGTTTCTACACAAATTTAGTGTGTTGTAATTTTCGTAACCTTGACATAAATGCCTTGCTTCGTTCTTCAAGGCTATCTATCAACTTCCAACTAGAGAAACACATTTGCACCGCCACCACCACCACCATTCTTTTCAAAATCTTGTGGGCCCCCTTCTAGTTGGATTAATTGTCATCGTCATCGTCAGCATCATAATATTATTATTGCTTGCTTCTTATTATCTCTTTTAACCAATCCAAAATTTGGTTCTTTAACGAGTATTAATTGTATTTGAAAGGGTTCCCTCTAATTTTTTTTTTAATTCTCTTAATATAGTTCTTGTATTTTTTTTATTCAATCTCTTTTTATATTTTTTTAATTTTTCTTGATATGATTGTTCTGACTGTTTTTTAAAATTTTTTAATATCAATATAAGAAAAATAACATAAGAGCTACATTAAAAAAAAATTAGAAGAATAGAAAAAGGTTTGGTACAATTAAATACTATTTGAAAGTGTATTTAGATTATTTTATATTTAATTGATGCTTTTTCTTGAGATTTTAAAATAATTTTATATGAAAATATTAAAATCATTAAAAAGTATCCGAAAAATATATATATATATATATTGACAGACATATTTTTTATCCAAAAAGCCCTATGGCAACATTCTCAAGCATGTATCTTAACATATTTTTTTAAAGCATTGACCCTTTTCTCTCTTGTTAACAGCTGTTTATCCAGAAAGAAAGGAAAAGAAAAGGAAAGTGAAAGTAATTAAGTATGTGATGAACAAGCTGTTCTGATCATGTGCAATTTAGAAAGGCTTTGATTTTTCTTGTGACTTCAGAATTCATTTGTGACCTAAACGAGTAATTTAACAATTGGCATGGTTTGCGGTATACCTAACTAGTTGTTGTATTGATTGAAAAAAGTGTTTTCCCATTCTTTGATCATATGTTAAGAAAAAGGTATTTAATCTTTCTTTCCTAATAAAGTTTTTACACTTCTCTTCTATCCAATCTTTACGTGTAGATATATATATATCCAATCTTGATTTTTTTTTATTTTTTTTATTGAAAGTATTGTCCGGTCTTAAACTATACAAACGAAAGAGAGGATAAATTTTTTGCATTTATATAATAACTAAATAAAATAAAATAATTAAAATTGGTACCTATTTTATTAGAAGAAATGATCGAATATCCAATTACTAAAATACGTCTAATTTGATGTAAATTATAAACATATATATAATTTGCTTTTGGTAGCCCATGTGGGACGAACATCATGTTCCATCAAGATTTGTGCTTTACGCCTTTTTGCTTCTATCATTATGCTCCAAGGCCTTGATTCTCTGTTGTCCTTTTAGACTGCTTGCTGTACCACGTAGGAAATAGTCCAACAATCAGGGCTCAGCTACTTTTGCTGACCACTAACTGCCACATTGATATATGATATATATAGAATACATTCTAATGGTTGTTTATTCTATAGATTTTATTGAGTAAAATAGGTTTGCATTTTAATAATTCTAAATTAATTGATTATTATAAGAATTTTTTTTATTATTATATATTTCCAAACTCACGAGTCTTGCGATAAATCAAAAAAGAAAACTACTACATTGATTATTTACGCTAGAAAAAATAAAAAGGATAAACCTTAGTCAAATATAATATAATATATATAATATTTGATTAGTCGCATTACAACTAATTTTCCCTCTTTTGTTAAAAACTGATTTAGTCATTGGTTATTTTCGGATACTTAAGAAATCTAAATTTTGTCAAAGTAAAGTTTCACAAAAATTATGTGATTTGGAAGTGATACTTAATTTAGTGGTAAGAAGTTTAATATATATATATATATATGTTTTCAACACGTACAATGCCAATAATGTTGAATGGACGAAATTAGAAAATATTTATAAATTAAGACTTGATTAATTGATAGGATTTTATAAGAGCAATCTAGTTTTGATTAGATTAATACAAGTTAGAATAAATTACAAATACCTCCTTGAGATACTATTAAATTACAGTAACCATCTAAATATTTGAAGATATTACAAAAAAAACCCCTTCCAATTTTAGTGAATATTACAAAAATTCCCTTTTGTTTTGTACACCGTTAATGACATTTTGAATGAAAAAAAAAAAAAAAAACTAGTTCCATAATATTTTTAAACTTTTGAGTGGTCACTATAATTACATAATAAGTTATGAGTTATTATAATTTACATTCAAAAAATACCAGGTCGGATTACATGATACATATCTTCTTAAATTAGCAAAGAAAGGGTGGATCACCACTTTTCTTGATGACCAAAATTGAAGAAAAATGAGAGGAGAATATTTTTATTTTTCTCTTAATAATTCTAAATATTAGGAATTCATTGCTTTAAATCATTGAGTGATATGAAGTTCACTTGTCACTCGATTTGTAGATTTTTATACATGCGGGATATTTTAATTAATTAATTTACCTACTTTTTGTTCTGTATTAATCTATATTATTTTTATTTGATTTTGACATAAGTTTAAATTACACGACTAATTGATTGAATTAATAATAGACCTAACTCAACATGAGGTTTTAGGTCACAAAGATAGACATAAGTGTTCGGCGGGATCGGTGTTTATGCCTTGTTATTAGAATGTATTAAGGAAATTGGTTTGGTGGGCTCAAAGCGATATATGTTAATGGAAGACCTAATTGTTATTTCATTTAGTATTTATTAGTAAGTTGAAGCAACTAAGTCCAAAAAACCTAAATCTTTCAAGCCAAATTTGACTATCCAAACTTAGATAACGTAACATAATTTTAGCGATCAAATATCATCTTTTTTCATTATAAATATGAATCTCATATCATTATAAGGAGATCAGAATTTTTACATCATAGAACTTTTGACTTCAAAACTTTTATTTTTTAACATAAGAAACACTTGAATTCAAAAAACAATTATAATACTCAATGAGTAAGTAGTGGATATAAACGAGTAGTTATTCAATGAGTTCACTTTTCAAGAGAGAGATAGGCATATTAAAAAAAAAAAAAATCTCATACGAACCATCAAAGGTAATAAGAAGATTTTCATATTGGTTCAATTTTTTTTTTTAATTTTCTCTCCTATCTGTGTCAATTTCTCTCTTTATAGAGTAACTTACACTAGTTATTTCATCTCAAAACTCTCACATTCATAGATGCAACAGCACTCAAAACTTCATATGTTTGGACTTTCATCTGATTTTATTTTTGTTGTATTTTGAAATCTCTCACTATTTATATTTTTTTTACTTAATTAGTTGATTGTTGCTTTTAGAAAATTATAATACTAGCTCCCTGCATCTTCACTAATCTACCAACCAGTTGCCTAATGAGTCCTAAGAACACCCTCAATAATTTCATATAAGATAAATCACAGAATCACGAAACCAATCAGTCGGTTGCTGTTTCCCTTTATTCTTTTGATTTTTTTCCCCACCATTTATCATGCTGAAAGTATGGACAGCTTAGCCTCGGTTGTCAATTTACTGTTGCTTTCACTGTTTCCCTCTTCTATACTCATCCAAAAATAAAAATACAAAAATACAAAAAGTAAAAGCGAGAGGAGAGATTTTGTTTTTTGGTTTTACTCGTATCTAAACTATTTACTTTTCAAATTGTTTTGACTTTTTTTTACTGGTTGAGAGTTTTTATTCTTAATATATGGTATGTTTATTTTTGAATATGTCACATATGTGATATGTGAAATCTCAATATCCATGTCTATTTTTTTCAATATCGCTTCATCTTATAAATAACAACATTATAAAGAAAATTCTCAAATAATATAAAATAAAGAACAAAAATTCTTAATAAAAAAAATGAGCAAAAAACATCTTTTCCTTTTCTTTTTGGTAAAAAATGGGTGTATATATTACTATAATTACACAGATAGTCTGATCACATATCCATTACGTCTTTTACGTTTACAAACATTACAGATTGTATTTTGGCCATATATCTGAAGCTAAAAATTAACATGCTTTTCTGGACGTGACTAATTAGATAAGACATAATACCTCGATAAAAAGGGTCCCTAACCAAACTCAAAACTGAGATATCGAACTCTATTAATCTTGTGTTTGAATCTTTCGAGGGCTCCCAAGAAGTCTAAACGCTTCAACTTTCACACCAAAGACGGTGGGAAATGGAAGGCATCCATAGACAAAACAATTGTTAGAACCTTGGTGGTAGTTGTGCATTTATTGATTTCGGCTGGCAAGTGTTGCTATCTCCATATATAACTTCTACACCCAACTTTCCTTCACAAAATTAACAACACCCCACAAGACGAAAACACAGTAAACTTGCTTGTGTTTGCGTAAGGAAAAAAAAAAAAAAAAGGGAAGAAAAATGTCTAAACTAGTGATGATCACCACCGTACTTCTCACCCTGACCATCCTTTCAACAGTGTCAGCAAAGAAATCACAACCCTCGGCTCCGGTGGCAGCACCAGCAGCAGCACCTGTTTCAGGGGATCTTGCTCCGGCAGCCTCTGGGCCAACAGCAGGAAATGATTGTACAACTCCATTGCTTAACATGACTGATTGCTTGGGGTATGTAACACAAGGAAGTAACTTGACCGTTCCTGACAAGAATTGCTGCCCTGAGCTTGCTGGGTTGATAGATAGCAACGTCGTATGTTTGTGTCAGTTGCTTGGTGGTAATATTTCTAAGCAATATGGGATCTCTCTTGACTTTGGTAGAGCCCTCAAGCTTCCTGCAATTTGCAAGATTGATACTCCTTCAGTCTCCTTGTGCTCAGGTAATTAAATTATTTATCTAGCTTAATTTATCAGAACTTTTTTTTTTTTTTTACCAAGATTAATGGAAAAAGGATCAATTTCTCATATAAAAAGGAAAAAAAATTACTCTAATGTCTATGTTTTGAACATCAGTAAACCGTTCGATTTGAATATAATAGCAAATCTAATGGTTTATATGAACATTGTATCGATGTCCAAACATAAAAATTTTACACCCATACAAAAAAAAAAATTGAGTTTTTCTTAGCAAAAAAAGAAATTAACAACAAAAAAGCCATTAGCCAAGACTAATAAACACAAGAATGTATTTTTTTTTTTACTTAATTTTACAAAATTACACTAGAATTTTCCATAAAATTATTTACTAATTACACTTGTGGGAATAATTCGTCATTAGCTAGTCATTATAGGTCAAGTGAGGCCAAGTGTTGGTCCTAGCATATTATTTGGTCATAAATGCAATGCCTTGAAATTTTTCAAAAAGCAATATTTTCAAGGCTCAAATAATTATTGAAATTAAAAATTCAAATTGTATATTAAATGTTAGTTACTAATTTAAATAATATCTTTGAGCATTAGTGGTAAGTAAAACCCATTTCTTTTCACTTTTCCTTACAGAATGACATGCCTTTTTTCTTTTTAAAATTGTGTATGAACTATACTAACATCCTATCAATTTCTTCTTGTTTATTTACTGAAAATTTATAAAATTGAAGAACTATACCTTGAATTTAAATGCTGGTTTGATTCTTTAATGCTATCACGTGCTAGATCTGTTATTTTCCTCGTCCATCACGTGCCTGTAGGTTATAATTGTGAATCCCGTCATTGTTTCCTACAATTAATGAATGACCAAAAACGAGAGGGCTATAATTTTTATTTTATTTTACATATTTGGTGAAATAAACTAAAAAAAACCCAACTTTATTTATCAAATTCATGTGTTTTTGAAAAAAGAAAAAAAAATTGTTTGCTCTTTAGATACTGGATTTTTTTTTAAATGTCCTTAGTGTAAATGCGTTCATTCTTATATCATGGGAATTCGGAGATTTTATTAAATATTGGTTTTGAGTCAGAAATAAAATCATGAAGATTTATGTTTTTTCAGAAAAAAAAAAACGAGTTTCGGTCCAAACAAAATAAACATTCGGTTATGATTTTCTGTAAAATGCATGTTGCGTTAAATTCAAGCGGCGTAGTGCACGGGTAAGCGAGCTGCCGGTTTCTAGCATTTATGACCGGCATTTAAGATTCTTGGTTACCTCTCACCTAATCACGTGCTGGATCTGTTGTTGTTTTTTTATTTATTAATCTTTTACTCGTCCATCACGTGCCTGTAGGTTATAATTGTGAATCCCGTCATTGTTTCCTACAATTAATGAATGACCAAAAACGAGAGGGCTATAATTTATTATTATTATTTACATATTTGGTGAAATAAACTAAAAAAACCCAACTTTATTTATCAAATTCATGTGTTTTTGAAAAAAGAAAAAAGAAAATTGTTTGCTCTTTAGATACTGGATTTTTTTTTAAATGTCCTTAGTGTAAATGCGTTCATTCTTATATCATGGGAATTCGGAGATTTTATTAAATATTGGTTTTGAGTCAGAAATAAAATCATGAAGATTTATGTTTTTTCAGAAAAAAAAAAACGAGTTTCGGTCCAAACAAAATAAACATTCGGTTATGATTTTCTGTAAAATGCATGTTGCGTTAAATTCAAGCGGCGTAGTGCACGGGTAAGCGAGCTGCCGGTTTCTAGCATTTATGACCGGCATTTAAGATTCTTGGTTACCTCTCACCTAATCACGTGTTAGATCTGTTGTTGTTTTTTTATTTATTAATCGTTTACTCGTACATCACGTGCCTGTAGGTTATCGTTGTGAATCCCGTCATTGTTTCCTACAATTAATGAATGACCAAAACTGAGAGAATAATAAATAAATGTACATGTTTTGATTTTTGTAATTATTATTTAAAAAAAAATTACAGTGAGTTTAAAAGTCTATATTTAGGACATTGGCAATAATGTTGGTGCCATTAGATTTGCTAGAGTAAATTATAAATTAGTCCTTCTAGTTTTAAGAAATGAATTGATTAGTTCTTTTTCTTTCAAAGATTAATTATATTTTTAATTTGTAACTTAATCTTTTTTTAAAAAAAATGAAATAATTGATGATAAAATATGATATTTTTAAAAATAAAATAATATTAAATTAAATAGAGCCAATACTAGTAAAAAAAAAAACTTAAAAATTAGTTTCTGAAAAAAAATTAATTCGTTCTTTGAAAATAAAGAAACTAATTTATTGTTAAATTAAACTAATTTGTAATTTACTCAAATTTACTATTGTATTCAAGCTCAATGATTCTAAATGCCTAAGTACACTATGAGCTGCTAATAATTGTGAGGTGCCTAATTATGCAAGTTTTTAAGCTTTTAGCACTTAAATTTGCAATTCTAGATTGAGATTATTTATTTATTTTTTCCATTGGGCTCTGTTTTTCAGCTGTGGGATACCCAGTAGGAGCACCAGCGAGTGGTCCATCAGGCTCAACAACGCCAGGTACCTGCTTCTTCTTCTTCTTTTTCTTTTTTTCCTGCTCTGTGAATCTGTATGATTTTCTTAGCTAAATTACAAGCTTGTATGATGAAAAATGAGGATAAATATTCTCACTTTTATTTAGCTCTAACATGCATTTTCTCTAGCTTAAGGTTTTTTTTTTTTTTTTTAAAGGAACATTAATTTTGTTTTAAATTGGCTGAATATTAGTCTAATAATATCTGAAATGAAATTGAAAAATTTTCAGTTGCTGGGTCACCAGAAGGATTGGCTGCAAGTCCATCAACTGGAAAAGACAAGGGTGCTGCTGCTTCAAGCACTGCAGGATCAACTTATGCAATCTTTGGTGTCTTCGCGTTTTCATATCTTCTAACATTGTTCTGAGTTTGAATTTCAGTTTTCTTCTCAGGTGTAACAGTTTATTTCAGTCCCATCATTTATTAAATATTGTTGTAACCATGAGATCTTGTATGTTTAGTAGCAAAATAAAGTGTGTAATTTATTGAATTTATTATTAAAAAAAAATTAGAGCATTTTTCCCTTTCTTTCTTTTTTTGTTTTTCTTTCGAGAGAACATGCCATTTTTTTTTTAATGGATAGGCCTTCTGTATCCACGTTCTAAAGCAGAAGGGAGAAGGAGAGTCTCTCTTTTGGCATGAACTGGAGTTCTTTCAAATTTGTATTAGGCTCTAATTTCTCGAGTATGTTTCTTCCATATTGAGTCGTGATTAGTACCATCATCCCTTCTCAACTCCAACCCCAGATGACCCTTCTTAATCTTCAACTTCGCTTCTGCAGCATCTTGAAGATTCCAAATGCGTAGTCTTCCCTGTGGATGTTGAAGCTTTCCCAACATTTAGAAGATTCCAAATGCGTAGTCTTCCCTGTAGATGTTGAAGTCTTTAATGCTTGAACCACTCTGTTTTCCAACAAAGAAATTGTCAAGTTACCCATCTTTGATGGCATCTCCAAGTTGGTTAGCCTTCCCATACCAGTTGGCAACTCAACAACATTTCTACAATCTTCCAGTATTATTGTTTGCAAATTGCATGCAGTACTCCCAGCTTCAGGAAGCTGTTTTATCGATGTTGTTGGAAGATTTAGATATTGCAAATGCTTTAACTTTCCCATTGAATCTGAGATAACTCAACTACACTGGAATAGCAAGACAAGGATAACACTCGTAGACGTCTAAGTCTTGGTAATAAATGACGCGTGATCCTTTTTTTCATCGGCTTCTTACCCTTCCAACAGTGGTAAAAAAGTGTAATTCGAAGTTCTGAAACCAATCTACGAAAACTTCAGTACAAATACATTGGAATGATTTTTAGAGCTGTAAGTCAGTCTATTCCGAACATTGAGGTATTCCTTGTGGCCACTGTATTATCGGACTAAGAAAGAACAACAATCAAGAATGCACTATAAAGAGGATCATAATTGAAAGTTAGGATAATAGAGATGGAGAGCCAACTGCCTTCCTATACAATGCAGAATTAGTCTGCTACTTCTTCATATGATTATGATTAGATTAGCTTAGATTTTAATGCTGACTTAATCGACGAAATTCGGCATAAAAGGCAGAGGCATAATCCATACAAATTGAAGACTAGAAACAAAAGCAAGTTAAAAGAGATTAATTACTCAATCTTAGAGGGAGATAACATTAGACACTGGTATCTCAGTATGATCAACATTATTATTTGGATCCAAGGCCATCTTACTAAGCCTAAGAAGACTCCTAGTAGCTAAAATTGCCTGAGGATTGATGTCATGCAAAGACCTTGAATACAAACTTCTACATGCTGCAGAAGCTGCAGCAATCAATTTTTTATCCTTGTTAGGACCTAAGAGGCAATGCCCTAATATCCTCAAAACAGGCTGTAGAAGTTCCCATGGCAAACCAATCCTCCCTTCCATATGGACACTTTCCTTGCCAACATTTTCTTGATCATCTTGAAACTCAAGGTTTTCTTGATCATCTTGTAACTCAAGATTTTCTTGATCATCTTCAAACTCACCATCCTGACATATATCGCCATCTTGACCAGACCAAACCTTACAAAACTTACAAAAATCAATCTTAGACCCAACAGGCATAAGATAAATCTTACTATAATATAACTCCAATGCAACTCCAACAATTCTTGCCCTTCTTGTTGATCTCACTGTCCCATGAGGCTCCAAACTCGGAGATATCACAGCTAGGTTTAACTCTGCAGAATTAATGTCCTTTGGAGGCTCTTTTGATTCATGATATATACTTGGGTATGATAAATCAGGCACGCTGACAGTTATAGCTTGGCCTGCACGTGAGGTAGTTTCGTGTGCATAAAGGGCTAACAAAATTGCCTCAAAACCTGCCAAGGGTTTTTTTAGGACAATACGAGAGAGATAAAGGCCAGCAATAATGGGAAGGAAACGTAAGACTACAAGCTGGAGGTTGGGTTCTGAGGATTGGAATGTGTCGTAGAACCAACGACAAAGGTTGTTGTCTCCGGCACCGGAGTCGGGGAGATGGAGGAGGGATGAGACTTGAGAGGAGATATCAGGGTTGTGAAGGAGGAAGAAAGCAGGGTCTTGATCTTGAGAGAGAAGAGAGGGAGAAACTGTGGTTACAATGGAAGAAAGGGATTGAATAGCTAAATGGACGTTGGAGGAGGAGCTTGATGGTGGTGCTTCAGGGGGGATATTGAAGGCTGAGGTGGTGGTGGTTTCTGTCACGAAGGTGTCTTGTGATATGGAGGTGGTAGGGGTGTTGGTTTCTTCAGAGGAGGAGCTATCTTCTGACATTGTTTTAATTAGACTTGTTAATTTTCAGGAAGAAGAAGATCAAGAACATGTGAGAGAGAGGTGATTAAGAGGAAGAAAGAATATGCAAATACAGATGAAAAAAATGTTGAGAAAAAAGATGAGGAGAAAATTAAGGAGGAAAAATAGGATCTAACCAATTAATCCTCAAAACGTTTGAAGGCTTATAATTATAGTGTCTTTAAATTTAGAAAATAATAACAAAAATAAGATTTAAGATGCATAAAAATAGATATCCATTAATTTATTCATTTAAAAATGAATTTTTACAAAATAAATAGCACTTCTTTTGTATGAGCTAACGAGGTTTTTTATTTCTTTCTAAAAACGTAATGTAATTTTTAAGGGGCATACTGATTGGTTTGGAAATGGTATAGAATTCGAGCTTTCGACGGATTTTGTTGGAATCCGACTTCCCGGTAGCAATACAATTAATTCGAGATCCAGTTGGTCATTGAGAAAACTACGGACATCTAGTCTCCTCCATCTATAGCATCATTTAGAGGCCTTGACGTGTTCGTATTGATCACACCTATCGAGAATTTAACCATTTAGCAGATTGGCTTACTTCACATGCTTACTCTATTGCGAGAGGAATTTTGTAATTTGACCTTGCCTCATTGGGGTGTATTAGCCTCATCTTGGAGAATATCCATGGTGTAGCATCCTCCAGTACTTTGTAGCTCTCATCCTAATGCTTAGAGATCTTTTTTCCCTTGTATATATATATAACAAAAAAGTAATGTAACTAGTTAATTATAAAATGACAAGATAACTAATCACAAGATGGTAACTAATCGTTAAGCAAGCATTGACTTGTAGGCCGGGTTTAAGGTTTGATCATTTTGACCAATACTTTTAAGAATTTATTTTTAGAATATCCGAAACCATGTATTGAGAGTACCTTTTAGCCACGTCGCGAAAGAATTAATCTTGAGGTGCATGAAAGCTGATCCGAGTACATCCTTAGTACTAAAAAAAAAAAATGACAAGATAACTAGCACCACTACATGGTAATTAGTTGAATTTTTTTCCCCATTTGATGGGGACACGAAATGGAGCATCCGTGGGATTTTTTGGATCACTATATTTAATCCATCTATGTCCTACTACATCTAATCCATTATTGTTTGGATTAGATCAATATCGAACATGCCTAGTTTCAAACCACTATATTTAATCCACCGAGTGTCATACTACATCTAATCCATCGATGTCATGGGTTAGATGAACGTTAAAACACACCTAGCCTATAAGATTTTTTGTTTGCTACATCTAATTTACCACTATCCCGCCATATCTAATCTATAACTATTCGAACTAGATTGATATCAAAATACATCTAACTTTTAGTTGATTACTAAGTTAGTCTTTTAACCTAAATCAACTCAAGTCTTGTACTACTAAGAGAACATGAATAGCCTTTAATCGATCATTAGATTGCCCTTTAAGCCAAATCAACTAAGTCTAGTACTACTAAGGGAACATACCTAGCCTGTGAGATTTTTTAAATCACTACATGTAAATTATCATTATTTGAACTAGATCAATATCGGAAAATGCCTAAATTTTGATTGATTAATGACTCGTTTTTTAGGTTGAATCATCCCAAATTTAGTACTATTAAAGAATAATTACAATTAATTGTTCATGAACAATGAGAATTGAATCTTGATTTTAGTTAAAACAATATTTTTATCATTAGACAACATCTCTTAATTACTAATAATTGAGTTACAAATGATTTCAATTATTAGTAATTATATATATATGATCAATAAGCATGTTAGATAACATATAACTCTGTGATGTAATTATAATACACTCAAGCAAATGCCATATACAATTTGTAATAAGATTCTCTTTCCACCGAAATCCTAATACAGTTAAACACATAAGATTTTCATTAAAAAACTTTATGTTCAAATTTCAAGAGGGTTAGCACGAAAAAAATTGTTAACTTGTTTCTGTAGATTTATTGATATGTCACGTAGTCATGAATCCACACTCATATTAAAGAATTTAATTAAATCGTTGCTAACGACCATATAGATAAAGAATTATGATCGTGAACATAATGTATAATGAAAGAAATTAATTAGAGATGATGATAACTCATATATTTGATTAATTAATTCAGTTTTTTTTACCATATTTATTAAAAAAATACTTTGATTATATCCATTAAAAAGTTACCATTTAATCTCATGTTCGATCCATATCAAGTTATATGTCTTTTTAATTCCTATTTTGTATTCTTATTTTGTCAAAACATTTCATTTTAGTTTTCAATTAGTTTTTTTGTCTGTGCTATAGTGTGGATTAGACAAAACACATAAAATTATTTTTAAAAAATTATTTTAATATGATCTTTTGTGTTATATTATGTATATATCAAAATATAGCAAATCAAAATTGAATAAAAATTCATTCAATTTTATAATTTTTTTAATCAAAATTTTATATTTGACTAATTATTCTTTATATTTTTCATAATTTTTTTTATTAAAAAACATATTTATTTATTTTTATCCACAACTAAAAATTTATAATATTATAAAAAATGTCAAAATCAATGGATTCTTAGCTAAAACCTTATTTTGTAAATTTTTTTTCTAAATTAAAATTTTATGTAAAAAAATAAGAAGAAAAAAAAGACCAAAGAGACCAAAATGAAACAAGAAAAAGGATCGAAATGAAACAAAAAAAATATTTGCGTATAAAAAAAATATTTTTTTAAAAAAAGAGATTAAAGTGTATTGTCATGAAAACTTTTATAGTAAATGTCTTGAAAATGAATTTAAAATGAAACGAGAAAATATTTATGTACGAAAGTGACCAAAATATAGCAAAAAAGAGGAACCAAAATGAAACAAAAAAATATTTACATATTAAAATATATTGTCACAAAAACTTTCATAATGAACGTCTTTAAAATATTTGAAAACTATAAAAATGTCATTGCATAGTGAAAAAAGTAGTGTTTCGAGTCTTGGTAAATAGTACGCATGAGTATGGGTGAAGAGTGTTTCAAATAATTTAATAAATAGTAATCGATCCATTTACTTTAGTTTTTACTAACATGTTTCTTGCGCATTACCGCGGGATGAGTTATATAACATCCTTATGCATCCATTTATATAAAATTTAACATTTACAAATCATTATTTAACAATATCATGCAAAAATAATTAAAAAACAAAACACTCGAACACATGTATTTCATAATTTGTTGCAGAGTTAGCTAAATGAAAAGTTTGCAAACTTGAGTAATATAATGTTGATAATTAGATATTGTTTGATATAAACATATATTTTATTAATAACTCGATAATTAAAATAATAATGTGATAGTTTTTTTGAATTTCTTATGATTAATTTTTACCATATATCTATAATTTGTTAATGAGACAGAGAGACTACTTAAAACAAAAAGACAAAAAAGCTTTGTCAAATCGAGAATTTGACAAAGAAAATATAGATAAAATTACACACGATAAAAATTAAATGATTAAAACAAAGTAAAGATCATGAAAAAGATAAAAATAAATAAATAAAATTTCACTAAAAGCATAAAAAAAATACTTATAAACAATAAGACTAAAAAAATTTCATCATGCATAAGGCAGGAACAAAAGTAAATATTATAGAATTTTAATGACCAAAATAAAAAAAAGTAATAAAATAAGAATCAAAACAGAAAATTTTTTCACTAAAGCAAAAAAAAAACTTAGCATAGTTAAAATGTATTTAATTTTAATATAGAATGAATAATAATTAAATATAATAAAATTTTAATGATCAAAATAAATGAAAAATCATAAAAAAAAATCAAAATATAAAAATTTTTTTTACTAAAAGTAAAAAATAGTTCCTTGTATGGAAAAAATTTAATGATCAAAATAAAAAAAAATTACAAAACAAAGAATAAAAAAAAATTCTACTAAATTCAATGATGAAAAAAAAGAAAAAATCACAAAACATACATTAGAATAGAAAGAAAATTTCAGTAAAAGAAAAAAAAACAACATTAGGATAATAAACTTTATTTAGTTTCAGTATAATAAGGATAAAAATCAAATATTATAAAAATTTAATGACTAAAATAAAAACATATTAAAAAATATAAACAAAAAAGGAACATAATTTTTTACTAAAAGTTAAAAAAAATATTTTATGATAAGGATAAAAATCACGTATAATAAAATTTTAATAATTTTGACAGGAATAAAAATCAAAGATAAAAAAAGTTTAATAACCAAAATAAAAAAAATAGAAAGAAGGGACCAAAATAAAAAGCAATTTCCTAAGCCGAAATGGGAGAAGTAAAAAAAAAAAAGAAGCCATGCGCGAGGCCTGCTAGCTAGGGCCTGGTCAAGCCTGCGTTTCAGGCCTAGCTGAGTAGCTCGGGCCTGCACGTCAGGCTTGGGCTGCTGCTCAAGATAAAAAAAAAAAACCAGTCTGTAACTTTTGATGAATCGAGGTCGTCGGAATCTTTGTCAAAAAATCGAAGATCAAGTTTCAAACCCCTATAAATTAAATTTTGGCATTTTTTCCTCAAACACTTCTAAATAACCGGAATAAAGCCAATAAACATATCTAAAACCTTAAAAATTATTTTAATACATATAAAAATAAAAAAAATCACATAATCAAATCGGAACATTGTTTCCTTTTCCGGCTCCGATCTACCTCTTCTAATTGTTTAATGGCTTAAAATAACCATGGACAAACTCATCTCTCAAAGATAAAAAAAAATCTAGTGGATTTTCACCGCCCAAAATAGCCTAAATAAGCTTGACCAAGAATCTCTCTCTTTCCCTCTCCCTTCTTTCTCATCCAGAGACCAAAATGGATAAACAGATAAAAATGTGGATCAAAATATTCATTAGTAAATATTTAGGATCAAAGTATAAAAAACCAGTAAATAGTGAAATATTAGTGTATGAACAAGTATTTGGAATAGTAAACTAACGTTTTGTTTTAGTTTATTTAGTTAATTTTTAATCATCAAAGTTTTCATAACAATATTTTAGTCCTTATTTTATAAAATTAGAGCAATCAGGTTTTTATATATTAAATTCTTTTCAAGAAAAAATATTAGATAAAATAGATATATATTTTTTTATCTTTATCCTTCTCAATATTTATTAAACATTTTACATTGATATTTATTTGGTCAATAGAATAATACTCATTTGATACTAGCCTCATTACCTTTCGCTAGACCCAAATTAATGTGAGACTCAACTAATCAAAACTGCCATGGGACCCGGACCACGAATGTGGTGATCCATAAATGAAGTGATTAATATCTAACTTATTGATAAAACAAAATGGACAAACTTGGCCCAAAACTGGCATGGGAGTATTGGGCTCATTGACAACTCAAACGAACTAAAAAAAAAAGACTTTGCCGACAGTAATTAACATCGGGCGGTTCTTACAATCCTATGACACATAACCTTCAATCTCCATCGTGAAAATCCTTAGCCACTGAACGATGATAAAAATAAAATAAAATAAAAAAATATTCCTCCCATCTCACCATGGAAATACCTCAAAACAGCTCGTTTTTCCTCCTCTCGTAGATTTTGATCTGATCATATTTGACAAGAAATTCTCTAACCCAATAAAACTGTTTATAGTTTCTGCTTCGAAGATCTTCTCTTTAATCTCTTCTTTAACAGGTACCATTAAAAACTCCATCTTGATTTATTAACTTTTAGATTTTTAATTCTCTGAGGATCATATAATTCGACTTCCTTTGATTATTTTACTTTACATTCATCAAATTCCGATCATTTCGAAATTTGGGTGGTCATTGTTTTGCTTTAAGTTCGTTTATTTGTTACTGAATTTGGGTTTTGACTTTTAGGGTTTGGTTTCAAGTTTTGGTTGGGTTATCCTTGAATTCTTGTCAAAGTTGAATTTTGGGTTGAAATTGCGTCTGGGGTTTGGTTATTTTAGGTTGTGGAATTAAGGGCTTTAGGTAATTAGCTCTCTTTATTTTTTTTTTATTAGATTAGCTATTCATTTTATGGCATTTGAATGCCAAAAGAGCACAGAGGTGTTGAAAAATCTTGCCAATTGTGTTGAAAAAAGCAATTCCAATACTGAAAGTTCTGAAATTTCCGAGTCTCATATAGACTGCTACTCTAAGAAGGGGATTTTAAGTAGTTTGAGTTCAAAGCAGCTGTCTTGTAATGATGTTTTGCTCCATTGTCACCGGTCAATTACTGACCTTCCTCCGGCACTGATTTCTGAGATTCTTAGTTGCCTTGATCCTAAAGATCTTGGTATAGTTTCATGTGCATCGACAGTTCTTAATAGGCTTGCGACTGAGAATAGTGTTTGGAAGGAAGTATATTGTGAGAGATGGGGACTTCCTATAGTTCCTGCACCGTTGGGTGCAGGGGTTTCAGATGAGAAGTCATGGAAGGAACTGTTTGTGGAGAGGGAGTATAGTAGTAAGATTTTCTTGTGTCGTTACAGCATTGATACTTTGCATGGGCATACTGAAGCAGTTCGAACAGTTTCTCTACTGGCTTCTGCCAAGCTCATTTTTACCTCTGGTTATGATACGGTTGTGCGAATGTGGGACATGGAAGACGGGTTATACATTGCATCATCGCGGCCTCTTGGGTGCACTATTCGAGCAGTTGCAGCGGATACAAAGCTCTTGGTTGCTGGTGGTACTGATGGTTTTATTCAAGGCTGGAGGGTGGTTGAGGGTCTCAAGCACTTGTTTGACCTTAAAGGTTCTGAGGTGCCAAACACTGAATTTAGAATCTGGGAGCACGAGGGACCTATAACATCTCTTGCCTTGGACCTCTCAAGGATTTATAGTGGGTCTTGGGACATGACTGTTCGTATATGGGATCGTTGTTCACTTAAATGCTTAAAAGTCTTGAGGCATGGTGACTGGGTGTGGAGCGTTGTTCCGCATGATACTACAGTTGCTAGCACATCAGGTTCAGATGTGTATGTTTGGGACACTAATAATGGGACTCTGCTAACTTTCATTCATAGTGCTCATGTCGGTAACACTTATTCTTTGGCTCGAAGCCATACAGGGGATTTCATTTTTACTGGAGGAGAAGATGGGGCTATGCACATGTTTGAGATCACTAGTCCTACAGCTGAGGCTAATGTTTTTAAGGTTGCAACTTGGATTCCTCACTCAGGGCCTGTTAATTCCCTTGCATTTGAGTTTCCATGGCTTGTTTCAGCTTCTAGTGATGGGAAGCTGTCACTGGTAAATGTGAGAAAACTACTAAGGACCAACCGACGCTCTTTACGAAAGAACTTTTCAAGGGTTGCCAATATGGACCGTATCAACGTGGAACCACCTCAGAGGATGTTACATGGGTTTGGGCCCAATTTATTTTCAGTGGATGTTGGTGCTGACCGTATTGTATGTGGAGGAGAGGAAGGTGTTGTTAGGATCTGGAACTTCTCAGAGGCTCTGGAAAGGGAGCGATCGGCTCGTGCCATGAGAGGAATACGGTTGGAGAACAGGATGAGGCGGCGCAAACTTCAAATAGAGATGAGCAGCAAGGGTGGTCGGACTGATCAATGTTCTGTTGCAGCCAAGAAGAACCCAATGCATGTAGACAGGAGTGGTGTCTGGCACCATAAACGCGGGATGAGTGGCAAGCTGAAAGCATAGCTACAAATAATTACTGTGTTCTTCCAGTCATGGAAGCATGACCTGATTGCTCTCTGGGCAATTACGAACAGAATTACACAATTATGATTTGACTATATTTCTACTGAATGTAGTTAGACTTGCATTGGCTATGGTACTTCCATTTTAAAAGCAACTTCATTTTACAGTAGTTTTCATGTGTCACCTTGTGCCAATTTTAATCTCTTGTTGTGTTTGTGTTTGTTACTCTTCTCCCCAATGGCTTTCTCAAGCATCTCTTGATACCTGTGAGGTTATGCTTAAGCCTGAACATAGACGATTTAATGTAGAAATAAATGTTTGTCAACAGGTATTTGCACACTGATCATTTTCTTGTTTCCGCATGTCATCCTAGAATTTTGGTGAGTTGAATTATATGTATGCATGATGGCTGATGAGGCACTTGCTTTTTGTCCTATTGAGTTTGATCTTGTGACTCACTTTTGATTTATAGGGTTATGGGAGGAAGAATTGGGTTAGTTGATATTAGTGCTCAAATTTTCACTGTAGGTTATTCCAACAACTGTTGTCAGAATAGGGGGAAATAATGACCCTTTTCCGTCGTTCTTTTCAACTTTTTTCACTCCTGAAGGGTGAAAGGTATTCTTTCCCCCTCCAGATGCTGATTTTTGTTTGCGGAAGTGCTGTATGAGATCCCTTCTGCAATTTAATTATTTATGTGGCTAACTCGTTTTTTTTTTTTTTTTTAACTCACACATCTAAGGTTATTTTGTTAGTATTTGAACTCGTGATCTTTTGTTGGAAGAGATCATTGTTACTGGGCTAAAAGCTCTTTGGTATGCTTCGAAAGGTTTTAAAGGCCTTTTTTCAACAATTTATAAACGTAGGTATAGCTATGAGGTTTTGGCGCCTGGGAGGAAATTGTTTTCTGGGCTTGTACGCTAACAAGAAGATTTCTTCAGCTAAAGAAAAAAACAAAAATCATATCCAAGTAGAAAAAATTGCTTCATTGGCTGAGGGATGAGACAGAGAACTTGTGAAATCATGTTTCAAACCTCACTTTTTACAATATACAAGAATCCTATCGTCCTTATCTTTGTGCCAATTATGTGCATGTTAGGGTTTTTCTATAGTCTCATTATTGGAGGAAAAAAAAGAAAACTTAAAGCAAGAAAATTTCCAACCGCATCAAAAAGCACTCAAAACGAAATACCAAAAGGGTAATAAACATCGAATCTGTCACAGGCATACACGGTGATGTGGGGGGCCTAAATTTGCCTTGCTTTAAATCTACGACCTTTCTACCTAATGCAGAGCAGCACAAAAGTCTTCCTAAACCATATTTCTAGGACAACCCTTTAAAGGATCCAACACTTCCCGCGTTATCAACAAAAGAAACACAATTCCATACAAGAAACGAACCCAAAACAGCAGTAAGAAACAAAGAAGAAACCAAAGGAAACCAGAGTTTCATTGCCAAAAGGCTGGAGATCAGAACAGCAACATCAAGAAGAGCAGCAATGGCTTTTCTGTATCTTCTTCTTGCTATCTTGATGAGCTTGGGAGGTCTAGTGCATGGGCAATTCTTGCCAAAGACACCGTCTGTAGTGGAAAATGGTTCACATGTATCTGCATTGTACATAATGGGTGATTCTTCTGTCGATTGTGGGAAGAACAGTCTCTTCTACCCTTTTCTTCACAGAAATCTTTCTTTGCTTCCTTGTAATGGATCAGACTCGACTCTTCTTCCTCATCTTCTAGGTACTTCCTTTCTCTTTCTTGAAAGTAACTGTAAACGCATGTGCTTTTCTTGATTCTTTTTATGGGGACGACATGTGAAACTGAGTGTTCTTAATTTGTTCTTGTTGAAAGCTTGCCTTGAATTGGTGGCTCATAATTAATTGATATTTGTTGTTTAAACTCGTCCTGAAAGAAAGAAAGAGAGGAAGAATTCATTTTGGTTTCAATCTTCTCTATAGCTTTTCAAGAATGATGAAAAACACAGTTGAATTCTTGGTTATTAGGAAGGATCTTGTTTGCAATGGATAGATTATATGATTTTCTGGGATCAATTTCTAGACCATATATATCTTGTGATTTTCGGGTCCTTTTCTGGTCCTATTTCTAGACCATACAAGTCTTTGATACAAAAGCACTTGGTGTATTGATGGCTGGATCCGTGCAGCCAACTGTTTTTTTAGAGTCAAAATGGAGCTGCAATTTTAGTAATGTTTGTCCGTTTTATGGTACTGCAGCTCAGAAGATGGGCTTGCCAAATTCCCCACCATTCTACCGTCAGAATGGATCGATTGAAGGGCTAAGAAAAGGAGTGAACTATGGTTCTGCACATGCAACAATCATAAGCCCCAGGAGCCACAGTCACCAGTCTTTTAATCAACAGCTACGCCAAGTATATGAGACCTTCCAGTTGTTGCTGCTTCAGTATAGAGAAGACAGAGCCCAGGATTTTATCAAATCCTCCATATTCTATCTTTCCTTTGGAAAAGATGACTATGTTGACCTCTTCCTGAGGAATGCTTCAGGCTTAATGCTCAAGTACAGTGGCCAAGAATTTGCTCACATTCTGGTCAACCAGATGGTTAATGCTATAAGGATCCTTTATGATGCAAATGTGAGGAAGATCATAAGCACGGGAGTATTGCCGTTGGGATGCACGCCACGTGTGGTATGGGAGTGGTATAATTCAACTGCTATTCGTGACGAAAAGGGTTGTGTGGAAGAGATCAATGAGTTGGTTTTGCAATACAATACCATGCTAAATGAGCGCATTGTGGAGCTTAATGTGGAGTTGCCAGATGCGCAGATAATTTTCTGTGACGTATACCAGGGAATGATGGAGGTCATAACCAACCCAACAGTCTCCGGTATGAACCCTTTTACATCGTTCCTGTTCTGTAGGAATTCTAGCTATAAGTTTGCCACTTGGTGTGGATTTATGCCTAATCATCCTCAAAGCCGAAAATCATTCCATGCTCTGAAATTCTATGATTTTAAGAAATTAGTTCACTTCCATTCTTTCAGCTATATAATTAACTTGAATATGGCAGATTGATTTCTGCATATTGTGCTGCAAGAAGCATACCAATTGCAAGTTTTAACAAGGTTTAGCTAGCTTTGAAAATTTGCATTGAAAATTTGTCTCAGCCATCGACTCCTTTTGTTATTTCCTGCACCATTTTACTGAGTTCTTGAAGCAAACTCATGATTATATGTAACCTAGTATGATATTATTGCTCCGAAGGTGAAGTAGCTCGAGAAAATAACCTCTGGAGTGTTTTATGTAATATTTACGAGTATAAAAGATTTTTACATTGTGAACAGAATACAAGATTAGCATCAGATTATTGAACTAGATGCTCCTCTGCCCTAATACAGGATTTAGTGATACCAAGAATGCGTGCTGTGGGCTCGGTCTTCATGGTGCAGAGATTGGCTGTGTTTCTGCAGAGATGACCTGCGACCAATCTTCAGCTCATGTCTGGTGGGATCTTTACAATCCTACACAAGCATTGAACTCCTTACTTGCTGATTCAGCCTGGTCTGGCTATCCCTTGCCCGGCATTTGCCGTCCTATCACAGTCCAGGATTTGGTTTACCCTTCAGGTTCACATCTGACCTGAGTGCCATGCAGGTGATACATGATTGATCAAACCAACTGCTTTAGTAGTATTTGGCATTTTGCTCATGTTGAGCTCTGCAGATTGAACATAACCTTTTGTTTAAGGATACCAGTTTTGTAAAAGATTCTGATGATATCTCCAGTTACTTTTCAGAAATTGTTTCTTACAGCCCAGTCGTACTGTATACACATAACTAGTATAGTAACAGTTAATGAAAACTGTGTTGTACTGTTCAGGAATGATAAAAGAAACTATGAATTTTTTGCTTAGATTTTATGTGTACCATGCATTTTTCGCTATAATATGAATAGAAAATATGCTTAGAAATCACGCATATTCCTGAAAATACCAGCAAGCATAGCCGAGGGCCTCTTTAGCATGTTCTAGTTCTAAGGACTCTAATTTATTTGATTATCATGTAATAAAAAAGAACTATCTTTATTGTGTAACTCAAGGTCCACAAGATCTTGTTAACAAAAAGGAAAAAAAGAGAGCATATTCTCCTAGCATATATAATGTATTAATCAAAGCAAAGCAGGATTTTTTGTATCTAAGGATAACACTAATTATTGACCACCCACACAACATTTAATAATGGGTTAATTAATCATTGAGTAAATTATAAATTAGTCCCTCCCTTTTTTAGAAATAAACAAATTAGTCCTTTTAGTTTTTAACACTAATTATTTAATCCTTTTAACCATTTTTTACCACGACTAGTTTCACTTTTTTTTTAATTTATAGAATATGTTTTTTTCTCGCTAATTTTTCATATTTTGAATTATTTTTTATTTCTTAAATCAAAATAAATTGAAAAATTAGTAAAAAGGATTAAATTATTAGTTTTTGAAATCAAGAAGACTAATTAATTCATTTCTCAAAGTGAGAGAGACTAATTTATAATTTACTCATTAATCATTAGTTTACCTTTTCCTACTTGGATATATCTGATTTTTTTTTCTCCCTAAATTGGACAAACAAATAGGGAAAAGAGTTAAACTACCTTAGCTATATATTGTGTTTGTCTTGAGCATTGAATTCAAGAGCAAAGATCCATGTCTCAAACAAAAGGAGAACAAGTCGGTTTTCAAGATCATAATTATTTACGAGATTCCCTTTTGATAGAAATCTTGCTAAGGCTTCCTTTGAAACCAATCTTCAAGTTCAAAACTGTCTGCAAACATTTGTTTTCTTTGATTTCTGATCCTTTCTTTGCCGATTCTTATGTTAGCCGAATCAACAATGATTTATTACTATTTCCCTCCAAACCATGGGTCCTTATGATGGATTATGATCCATCTCAGGATCATAAACCTGAGAGCATAGCTGACGTTATTGCTGTTAACGAATACCCTAAATTTATTTCCGCAGGATTTTCACTTTCCTTTCTTCTGATCGAACCAGAAGGTTACCCCATAGTAATCCTGGCATGCATAATGGTTTGTTGTCATGTTTTCAGGAGTTTCGAGGCGGGGAAGATAATTCCTTTCTGATATGCAATCCACTGACCAAAAAATATGTCACTCTCCCAAAGCCACCTAGCTGTGGTTTATGCCTCTGGAAAGCGGGCTTGATTAGCTAGGACGATGGTAATTATAAGGTAGTGAGAATGAAACAGCAAAAAAATCGACCGTAGAAATTGGATATTTTCACTTCTGAAACTGGTAAGTGGACAGAGTAGAATTCGTTAAGACATTATATCGAGTGCAGCCCTGTTGCATTCAATGGTATTCTGCACTGGATTGATTTTTTTTAGCTGCATATGATCCTTACAAGAGTAACCACGAAATCCTACCGTTGCCGAGCGACAGGAGTTTCTTTTGTATCGAGAAGCCTTGAAGTTTGTGGTGGCAATCTATGTTGCTTAGAGAGATCTGAAAGTGAAAGTTTCAACTGCAGGTACATACCAATTATGAAACAGGAGAATGGCATTTGAAGCAGGAGATTCGATATCGTGAAGTCCGGAGATCAGCCTATGCTTCGCTGAGGAAGCAGTCCTTATTGGGAACTTCAATGCTTACATTACCAACACCGTTAGCAATACACCCATTCAATTCAGATGCAATGGTGGTGTTGCAATTTCTGACAATTTTTAGACACAAAAGGCGGAAACAGCCTGTTTCTGAAAATTCATGTCGTATGTGCATATGTACTGCTTTACTTTCTCATGTAATAATCGCATCTTATAATGCTTGAATTGCTATGAATATGCTCCTTGCGTGGCTTTTATATATCATGTAATTTCTTGTTTGATTTCTACCATATAAAGACTGCTACACGCCCTTCAATCATTTTTTTTTAATTTTTCTCTTGATTTCCTCTGGTTGGGCCAGGGGTGTATCAATTTGTAATTCCAGGAATGTGATTGGTGGATAGCTATAAAAGATTGAAGTTCTGGCATCTTGGGGACCTTTATTTTCTGGGTTTGAATCCTAGCCGGTCGAGTTCTTGTGGTAAAATAGTAAAATTATACCAAGTAGAGAAATTTGCCAAATTTCCCTGGCATAGTATGAAAAGGCACTATGGTTCTAAGAACTCCTCTGGCATCCTGTGATGTTGTCATTTGCTTCTTCTTTTCTTCTTTCTTCTCCTTTTATGATCAAGTGTCCTAATGGCTAGAACTCCCTATCTCTAGATGCTCAAAAAAATCACGTGTTATGTCTGATGATGTTATAGATCCTCGGTATATGAATGGATGAATGGATGAGTTTTTTTTCTTGGGTGATCGTGTGGTGATGGAGAGTCTTGTAATTGTGATCTTGATGACAATAGCTACAAAACAAAATTTCTTCTTGGATTAGGAGGACCCTCGAATGGCTAATTTAGCATACGGAGAGAGAGATAAATATAACTTTAATAGACTTATTTAAATGGTATATGATGTCTTAGTAGGTTTATGAAGAGTGTATTTTCTATATAAGATAAAGAAATGCACAGTGATTAAGTCATTTTTATGGTCTCTTGGCTTAGCTATCTTGTGAGTTGTGTTCTTTTTGCCCTTTTGATATAATTGATGTATCTTTACCTAAGTTTCCACCCTCTAACCTTATTTGTTGTGTATGAGGTCTTTCTTTTATAGTCGTTATTAGATATGGTTTGTATTGAGATAAGAGGCATATCTTTCCTACTCGTAAGAATGGTTTGGTGCCACCCATGCTCTCATAACTTCGACATATGTCGTGATCCTTTTAGGGAAATGTTCTCTTTTGAAGCAAGTTATGTCATTTGTACATGAATCGATGTTTTTTATTTAGTGCTTGTCCCATCAATCCTCTTTTATGGCATTCGGGGTCCGGATACACGTAGTAATAAAGGATCGAGTGAATCCTATTTGTAGGAGCTTTTTCTCATTTAAGATCATGTATGGTTGGTAGTAACAAGAACTTTTCTTCCTTGTTCATAGTCCTACATGGTTGTCCCGATGGTAGTAGAGATCCTTCTTCTGCCGCCAAAGCCGAATGAACTTCTTGCTCCATGGTGATTCTTTGGAAATCAAGACAAGTAGAGAAATTTGCTTTATTTTCCGAGCTTACTTTGAAAAAGAATTCCGATTTCAAGAACTACTTTTTCTTTTACGTAAATCGATCACAAGTTTGTTCCCTTTTCGGCTATGAGTTCGTTCTCCTATTAAGCTTCCTTGAATTTTTGTTAGCCTCAATGAATGGATCACCCGTATCGAAGTAAGATTGGAACCTAAAACTATGTAACAATACTATCTTCATCCAAACCATGGCCCCTTCTAATGTTTGATTACTCCTAATTCATAAGTTGGATGAAATAAATGGAGGAGGTCATTGTGATGGTGTTTATAAGCACCATGAATTCACTTTTTTAGGATTTTCATTATCTCTTCTTCTAGTTTTAGATTTTGGATACTTACCAATAATGAAACGAGAAGAATGGTCATTGAAGCACATGAGTAAGTATGGTGATATCATGTGATCGGACAATATTTTATTTGATGAGGACTTAAATTATTCACTATCGTAAGAAATGCATCCGTTTGACCTCGAAGTAGTTTATATGAATTATGAAGATTGCTTAGTTTCTTACAATTTTCAAATACAAAAGTTGATCTTATTCTTTCTAAAATATTAGTTTTTTTTTTCCAAATACATGCTTTTGTTTTTCCACCATGGCCAACTTTGATTTCTCAATTATCGTGGTAACTCATATGTGAACTTGAAAACAAATTTACTTTCTTGAGTAACAATCAGATTTATTATGGATTGATGTTGTCATCAAAAGTTTGAATCATTGATTGGACTTTCAACCCATCAAATGTTAGTTTTATTTAAAAAAACAATTAAAATCTTGTCAAATTAAAACAAAAAGATAATTTAAGTGTGTGTTTAGTTATAAAAAATATATTTAGATTGAAAAAAAAATTAAATTTATGTTTTTTTACAAATATATTTTCAAAAGTACTTTCAAAGACAATGAATAAAGCAAAAGAAAAATAGAATCAAAGTTCCCAAAACTACAAAAAAAATCATTCCGTTGCCGGGACTTGAACCCGGGTCTCTCGGGTGAGAGCCGAGTATCCTAACCAACTAGACTACAACGGAAGTTGCAAAAGATGGCAACATTTGTTATTAAATCTAGTTATCCAATCATCAGAAAAACATGGAAAGGGAACCTCAACAGAAGCCTTTATAAACCTCAAATCTCGTTCCTTTTCTCAAAAAGCTCAAGTTTTTAGAAAACCAAGTGGAAGAAACAGAGACAGTCCCCAGTGGAAAAAGTGGCTTGGACTTGAGGTTGATGATGAAAATCCAAACAAGAAACCCCACTTTGTTAATAATGAACATCCTCTGTTCAAAATCAATAAAAAACCTCAAAAAACAGTGACATTAAAAAAGAATCAAACAAAACATTAAAATAATCGAAATGATTCTCTCCCACTAAACCCAACTTTATTACCTTCCACACTGCAATCCTCACTCTTTTTAGCTCTCTCTTCACACCCATCAATATACCCTGAAAAACCCAACACCATGGCCGCATTAACACTAACCCGCAGCCTTCATTTCCCTCCAACCCCACCTCTCAAAACCCTAAAACAACACCAACAATCAAAACCCAAAACTATAACAATCACCGCCACCTCCCTCTCTGGCCGCAAACTCGCAGCCGCCGTGATCGGTGGTGGCCCAGCAGGTTCCTCTGCCGCAGAAGCCTTAGCCGCCGGTGGAGTTGAAACTTTCCTCTTCGAACGCAGCCCTTCTACTGCTAAGCCATGTGGTGGAGCTATCCCTCTTTGTATGATCGACGAGTTTTCTATCCCTCTCCACCTCATCGACCGACATGTCACTCGCATGAAGATCATATCTCCTTCGAATCTGACCGTTGATTTCGGATCCAAGACTTTAAAGTCCCATGAGTTTATCCCCATGTTGCGTCGCGAAGTACTGGATTCTTTTCTCCGGTCTCGTGCTCAATCCAACGGTGCTCATTTTATCTCCGGCCTCGTCACAGATATTGAGGTTCCTGATTTTTCTTCTTCAAAACCTTATATCATCCACCACACGATTAATAATCGTAAACATTCTTTAGCCGTTGATCTGATTGTTGGAGCTGATGGGGCTAACAGCAGGGTGGCTAAGATTATTGATGCTGGGAATTACAGTTGTGCCATTGCTTTTCAAGAGAGAATCAAATTGCCGGACGACAAAATGGAGTACTATCATGATCTCGCGGAAATGTACGTTGGGAATGACGTGTCACCTGACTTTTACGCGTGGGTGTTTCCAAAATGTGACCACGTGGCGGTGGGGACTGGCACCGTCTGTGCAAGGCAGGATATTAAGGTGTATCAAAGAGGGATCAGGGAGAGGGTTAGGGAGAAGATTAAAGGTGGGAAAGTGATTAAAGTGGAGGCTCACCCAATCCCTGAGCACCCGCGTCCGAGGCGCGTGCGTGGACGCGCCGCGCTCGTCGGGGATGCGGCGGGGTATGTGACCAAGTGCTCGGGAGAAGGAATATATTTTGCGGCAAAGTCGGGGAGAATGTGCGGGGAGGCTATCGTGAAGGCTTCGGAAGGAGGGAAGAAGATGGTCGGCGAGGAAGATTTGAAGAGGGAGTATTTGAGAGAATGGGATAGGAAGTATATGAATACTTTCAGGTTTTTGGATTTGTTGCAGAGAGTGTTTTATGGGAGTAATGTGGGTAGAGAGGCATTGGTGGAGTTATGTGGGGATGAGTATGTGCAAAGGATGACATTTGATAGTTACTTGTACAAGAAGTTAGCTAGTGGAGAACGATGGGATGATGTGAAATTGGCTTTGAATACTCTTGGGAGTTTCATGAGGTGTAAGATTGTAGGAAGGGAGATGGAGGCTTTGAAGTTGTAGGCTTAAGAGTTTTGTTCTAACCTTTTTTAACACTTTTGGGACAAGTAGTTTGTTGTGTAATAACCCTTTGGGATGTGTACAAAGCTTTGTCAAGCAAAGATGTCCTTGATCATTGTTGTCTTCATGCAAGCCATGTTTTTTTTTTTTTTTTTTTTTTTTTTTTTTTTTTTAAGGTCAGGAGGAACGGGGAGTGGATGTAGCAAGCCTATTTCAACATCTTGTTTTGGAAATTTGAAGTAACCAGTAAATATTGTACTTTCTACATGTAATTTCCTCCAACCTTCCAACTTGAAGACAATTGGACGGCTAGTGTCTACCCTTGTAATACAAGTGCATGGATGCTGCAGGCCAATGATGATTGATAAGTTGCCCGGTCAGATAACGTAAATTTAAATCTAGCTTACACTAGAAGTGAGGAATGAAAAGAGGGGAAGATTTTCTGTGTTGTATATATAATTCATTTTTTTTTTTAATATTGCACAGTTCAAGATCGATGGATATCTCAAAAAAGTGTGAAAAAGACAAAAAGAAAAAAAAACAAATTTATGCTATTCACGTACGTAAGAGTAAATTATAAATTAGTATACCTAGTTTTAAGAATAAATTAATTAGTCTTATTTGTTTCAAAAATTATTATTTGATTCTTTGAGCAATGCTAATCATGTTTAATTTAATATTATTTTTATTTTATAAATTTTTTCTTAACAATATATATATATATATATATAAGAAACAAACATATATTGAAAAAGAGAAAAAAATAAGTTATAATTATATTTAAAAATATATAAACTAAATAATTAATTTTTGAAACAAAAAGATTACTTAATTAATTTCTCGAAATCAAAGGTACTAATTTATAATTTACTCAGCTTGCGGAAAGATAAATTTAAAGAGGCTAGAGGCCTTGGCCCAAAGCCAAAACTTGGACATGAGCTTGCCCATATTTCGCTTGGAATCGGCAGGGGGAAAGGAAAATTGATGAAAATTAAATCTTTTTTAAGGTGAAAGGCTCAAATAGTTAATTAGGATTTTTTTTTATAAAAGTAAATCATCAACACTTTCTTGACCAAGAAATTCTAATTTTTGGTTGATTATGAGGTCGACAAGTTTTGGATTACCCAATTAGGCTGCTAACTTTCTTCTAATCTCTAAATCTCCATCCGTCTTTTGAGGAATATTACTCGAAAAATCTTGTAGAAACAGTAATAAATTTATCGAACAATGTCAAATTTCCACACATTGGTTCTATTTTCTACAAAAAAGCTTATTTAGAAAGTTGATTTGTCGTTGTCATCGACAATAAGTTCGCAGGCCAAAGTCAAGCTCCAACGTCCCACAAAACCCAAAACTTCTTGTCTATCTTTAATTTGTGCTCGAACTAATTGAGAGGAAAGATATAAATAAAGGAAATTTTGTGACTACTCAATTTTTCATTTTTATTTTTCTTTTGCATGATAAAAAATTGAAAATTGCATTCATTTATAATATTAATGGAAAACCTTCCTATTTGAAAAATAGAGAAAGTAGTGGATGGTTTCATTTAAAAATGATCAATACCGAGGATCTTCTGAATTACATATATCATGAAAATGCATATTAGAAATTTTAACCAATCACATTATTCTGATATGTTCTATAATATCATCTATCAACACTTGTATTGTGATATATTGTATATCATAGGATTCAAACCGCCATGATGCATGTTTTAAAATTTAGAGTGATAATCCTGATTTTTTATTAATTCGAGAAAACCATGAGAAATTTATTTAAAAAAAAAACTAATTTGTGGAAATTAACGTGTAAATTGTCTTTCCCATATATACCTATTTTAAAAAGTGGGAGACAAATTTTTTTTTTTTTTAAGTTGAAGAATAATAATGGAGTTAATAGCTCAAAATATTTTTATATAATAAGATAATAGATATAATTAAATCAATTTTATCTTTGAATATATATTAAATGTTTAACTTATCATTCTGATAAAATACTCAAACTAAACTATCGAAATTAATCATACAATTTGTATATGAAAATTTTCTATATGACTAAGTTATAATGACATTTTAGAAATAAAAAAATATTCATATGTAAATTACATGAATAATTCTAGTGATTCGACATGAAATTCTTAATAAAAGTATAGATTGAAAACTTAACATATATTCAAAGATAAAATTAACTCAATTGGAGATATAAATTAGAAAAGTATCTTATTATATAAGTCATTTTTAATCCATAATAATAATTGCATGGAAAATTATATGACCGCCATCTGTTTTTCATTGAAATATATTACAAACTTGAACTGTACTTGTTCAATTGACGATAGACACGATATCATTATCGGTGGACCAAATATTAGATGCCACTAAAAAAGCTTTAACGTTAACAGATTTATCATAGCATTTCATGAAAAATGTTGCTAATTAAAATCATCATAAAATATGACTAAAAACTAATTTCTTTATTGTAGTCTGCTGTCACTTAGATAAATCCACAGGCTTCTCGATGTTCAGTTGTTCAGTATTTATTCTCAGATGATGCTTGTGGTGGTTGTGGTGGTGGTGTTCCCTTCAGCTTAGTCCTTTTGCGCTTCTTTGTATAGCTAACTCCTCTTGCTTTAGCCTGAAAATCCCTGACCTCCCTCAAGTAAATCCTCACTGCTCTTGCACCAAAAGGATTCCCTTCAGGCTTCCCTCCATGCGCCTCGTAGGCTGCTCTAAGCCGTCCAATGAGTGCATCAAGACTTCCCCAGGCTTGCCGCAGTGGGCAAGGGCACAGTGCTGGTGGCTTGGGGTTGCCAAAGAATCGACAAGTTTGATTGTGCACTTTGGTCTTGCCAAATTGGTCAAGGTAGCAAAGGAAGTCAAGGACATGGGCACCATTACAGGTGGAAAGTGAGAGGGGAGGCTTGTGGTTTCTAAGGTACTGACAAAAAGTGTTCCAATCTCGACGCTTTTGGTTCTCATAGCGACTAGGAGTAGAAGGCGGGACTCCCATTGTGGTGGGAGTAGTACTGTTGGGGGTAGGGTTCATCATTATGGGGCTCGAATATTTAGGTTTTGTTGATGGGGTTGCTAACTCCATTCATATAAATGAAGTTCTAAGTACTAAAACCAGGTATGGAGACAGTTGATGTTGCAAGATGAATGCCTTTTTTTAGGGTTCTCCGTCTTGTGATCTGTGAAGGAAAAAGGCAAGAACCCTAGAGCAGAAATTTTTCCCTTGAATCAGATGACGAGAAGGGAAATGATGAAATGTTACTTCCTCCGGACAATAATTTTTCTTCAGGTGCTTGGTATAAAAGACAGAAGAAGGTTACAGAGACAGAATCTTTCGAGCAGTCAAGAAAACTGCCTCAAAATTTAACAGTTTTCACAGGATGAAATACAACAGTACGATTAGTGCAACAAGTTGCAAGAAAGGATTCGACGGCTAAAGAAATGGTATGGAGAGAAAATGAAAGGTGTAATTCTGCCTAAGAATGACTGAAGTCTACAAGAAATTTTCAAAATACTGCAGAGATTGGCTAGATGATCCCTGAATATTTTTCAGAGAACATCAGATCAGCAAAGGAATTACATGTGCAAAGGCAACTTATCAGGTTAACACAGTTGATAAAAGTTGAAAAAAGCGCGAGACAGAAAGAGAAGAGAGAGCCAAATGGTCCATTGGCTGATCATGTTATGATCTGCCTTGACATACAAATATCAGAATATATAGATAGTTTTCTTTTCTTCAAGAGGACAAGCTTGTAATCTTCTTTTTCCCTATTTTATTCTTCAGTACACTTTCAAAATAAGCCTCACAAATTAATTTTCCAGCAGTATTTGAACCTCCAATTTCTAAGTGAGTAAATTATAAATTAGTCTTCCTAATTTCAAAAAATGAATTAACTTATCTTTTTTATTTCAAAAACTAATTATTTAATTTCATATTTAGTATTGATCATATTTAATTTAATTTAATTTCATTTTTATTCCTTATCAATCTTTCCATACTATCTATTTTTTTTTATAAAAAACCAAATTAAAAAATAAAAAATGAACAAAAGGATTAAATAATTAATTTTTAAAACAAAAAGACTGATTAATTCTAAAGGGCCGGGTTAGTTTCTAATTTACTCTTTCTAAGCTTAAATGACTAAAATACCTTTTTAGAGCCTGGAGTAAGTTTCAAGCATCAATTTGTATATTTGCCTTTCCAGCATAAAGATTGATAGCTACATGGATGCATAGAGGAACCTTCACAGCAATTGCTCTGTGCTCACTTCCAAAAATTTCCTTGATCCATTATTAATTAATTCCTTACAACTCTACTTTTCTCTTGTACAAAAGTTACATCTTCCAATTGTTGTTCTTCTTCTTGTTGGATTTCTTCTTCTTCATTATACGATGAAAGAAGAAGAAATCAAGCAAGAAGAAGAACAGCAATTGCAACGTGTCACTTTTGTCCAAGCGCTAGAAAAGTAGTGTGTAGTGTGGGAGTCCTTGATCTAGTAAACAGCATTGATATAGTGTGTTTTGCTAATATTTATATATATATAATAGAGTAATTATTTAATTTGTATTTATATCTTTACATAAGTTAATTTTATTCTTGATTTTACGTTAAGTCTTCAATATATCCTTCTAATAAGATTTTTCAGGTTAAATTAATAAAATTAGATATGCAAATTTTACATGAAAGTCTTCTGTTTGTTCGACTTGCAATGATATTTTAAAAATAAAAATTTATCATATATAAATCATGTGATTAATTCTGAGGATTTGACTTGAAATCTTACTAAAAGAATGAATTAAGAACTTAACATATATATACGAGTAAAATTGATTTAATTAAGTATGTAAAGAAAAATTAAAGAATTACTTTATTATACGAGAATAAATTTTTCTATATGAAAAGATTAGTTTTTTTTTTTTTTGAAGAGTTAAATATAATAAAACAGCAGTAGTTTTCTTTTATTGAAATGCCACCACAATCAAATGAATAATACTATGATTCTAGGAATGTTAACTATAAGAAGGGCTTTGGTCTCGATGCACAATATGCAAAAACTAATTTTAAAATATTCTTATATTGACGCATATTTGATCTGAGAATATTTTTAACATGGATCTAAATAAAAAGTTAACTCAAAATTACTCTTAGATTGTGTTACTCGTGAGTGGGGTTTAAATTAACTTTATTTGGTAATTTTTTTTTAGTAAAAAAGGGAGTAATTATAGGGGTTAACACTTGACTCCCAATAAGATAAAAAGATTTGAAGTTTGCGTAATATTTTTTTGTCAGTCAAATTCAATATTCATTTTCTCTCTCCCTTTTTTTTTTTTACTTATATCCTTGGTCACACCATTATACAATACCATCATCATCATTATTAATAAATATATATTAGTATCTTTTTTTTTAATTCCAAATTAAATACAATCGCATTGTCAAGACTCAAAAGTTAATTAAATAAAATATTAAAACTATCAATATGTAGATAATGGTTATTATTTTGGGCTATGTATGAACATGGGCTGAGATTTTAAGCTGATAAGACCTTTGGGCTTTCTTTGTGTTAGCCCAGATATTAATGCTACGTGTCCGTAAGGCCAGTATATATTAAGCCAATATTTCCCGCCCTCTCAACAAAAGGAAAAAACCTAAAACCCATTTTCCCTAGAAAAATATCCAAATTTTCCCGGAAACCCAAACATCAAAATCTGTAGGGTTTCAAAATTGCCGAAATGACAGTGCTCAATTGGAAGCACCACACTCTCATTCAAGCTCTAATGTCCCGCGGCCCACTCAAGGAAGAAGAATTATTCAAGATCTTTGCCGACGTCACTGGCAAATACCCGCGTAAATACTTCATTTTCTCTTCTTAATTTCCTTTACAGATTATCGTTCTTTCCGTGATTTTTAAGTCAAAATTAATCTCTTTTTTCTAGTGAAAATAACTGAAAGAAATTAGAAGTTATTTTTTTAGATTAATTATTCAGAGAATTAATTCATTGAATTTTCATTTTCATTTTTTTTTTTTTTTGCAGAAGGTAATAAGAGAGAATTCAATGATTACTTACTGAAGATAAACAAGGAATTGTCGTATGTTCAAATGGAGATGAGGTGTTGTAGAAACCAAAATGATGGTGGAGTTTGTTATGGACTTGTCAATACTGTTCCTGATGACCAATCGAAGCTCGGAACTAAGTACTCTGTCCCGCAGATTGCTTTATTTAAAGGCGTGGTAAGTCTCGCTTGTGAACTTTGATTATTTTGGGAGACATTTGTTGTTATGATAATTGAAAGCTTTATGATTTTCATTGCTTGTTTCCTTTTGTATGGGATGACTTGGCTGACTTGAAATGATGATCCTTGTTATGATTTTACTGATGCCTGAGAAATATGTGTTTTGGAAGATGTTTTTGTTGGGAATTCTTTGTGACGGACTTGTAGTTTGTGTGCAAACATGGGAACGAAGGGTGCATGTGCCTGTTTGTGTATAAACAGGCTTTCTTAAGAAATGGGTTGCATTTACTTAGTTGCGAGTTTTGAAAAAAAAAATGAAATTGGAAATATTACTTTCTTTGAGTGTATCGAGCGATAACTAATAAGTAGGTAATTTGGAGCTTTAATGAGATTTTAATTCCCTCAGATACACCTCATCTAGCCACTTATTTAAGCCTGATGTTTAGAGTCACCGCTTGGCAGCTCAACTTTCCCTTTTAGCCGTAAAGGCATGTGTATGGAAGCGGAAAAAGAAACCCATACTGTGGATTCTGTATTCCATAGTGTGCTGCAAATAAAAATGTAATCACACATTTAAGCCCCTTCATTCTATGATGCTTGTTTGCTTTTCAAAAGCCAACTGTACTTGCAATTTGAAAATGAGCCATGCAGGTCCGCTATTAGTTTTGCCAGACTGCAAATGAGTAAATTTCAGCATTTATCTCTTTTTCGATTTCTTGAGCATGAGTAGCTGGTTTGTATTTCTTTTTTTTTTTCCCCTTCATTTCTGATCATTACATACAGCTCTCTTTTCATGGTCGTCTGTTATGAGTTTATCATCTGTGCACATTGATGTTCTGATTTCAATTTAATGGGATTAAGATTCTTGGAGTTCATGTTATTTATTTATTGTCTGTTTGTTTGTTTGTTTGTTGTCATCTGTCAGATAGAAGCGATAGTGCAGGATGTCACCGCCCAAGGAAGCATATCCAACATTGATGCTCTCAATATAAGATTGGAGAATCAGGTGTAAAATTTTTTCCCTGCAAGCATTTTTAGGCTAATCAATGAAGTTGATCATAAATAAAATGATGTTATGAGTACATTTTTTCAGTCCCAACTGGTCTTGTATTTTTTTACCAACCAGGAATAAAACTTTTCTGAGTTATTTTGTAATTAGGAACAGGAAGCTTCTTCTCTGAGATGATGTCATTCATCTTTCATCTGTCATTGATCGGTCATTTTATGTCAAAGCATTATGGAATATTCTTTGGAGTAATGAAAAGAATAGCAAATTTCAATTGCTCGGGATTTTCAAGCTAGTGTAAAGTTCTGTTAGACATACATCGTATTATACCTGAGGATATGAGTAGGCTTTCATTGGGGTCTCTAACTTCGACACTCAGACAGTTATTAGACCCTAGCATGAATATTTTGAAACTATAATCAGTAGAATTCTGCTCTTGAAATTTATTCTGCTATTACAATGAACTTCTGGTATGATTCTGGAGTTTGGAGCACATTTTCTGGATCAGTCTGCATTCTTCTCTAAATTGTTATATCCATCCTGGCATTGCTAGCTGCAGCAGTAGTTTGTCGTTTAAAGCCAATAAAATTTCCTTAGTAGATGGTTTGATGCATACTAATGCTCTGCTAGTGTAGCATTATTGTATGATGGTTTTAAAGCCAATCAAATTCTCATTGAAGTTTGTTTGGAAGCTTTTATCTGTTTATCGAAAGGGGAAGCTCTGTTTGGAAAAAGTGAAATTGCTCTTCCTATCTATGATTTCATCAATTTGTTTTTTTTTTTTTTTTTTTTTTTTTTTTTTTTTTTGAGTTTAAAAAATGTATTTCGTGGTCATTTGGAATTGCAGCTGGTCATTATATTTGAAAATGATGGCCAAGCCAATATTCCTGAGCAACAAAAATGACCATTGTCTCCTTTATGGTCTCTACCTAGACATTTCTTTGGCATTCCTGAAATATTCCTGTTTCATAGGCCTTTTTTTTTTTTTTTTTTGCAATGCTTAGCCAAATCACACCGGATGAACTGTCTTATCGTACAAATTAGTATGGTGAACAGTGTTATTTGCTCGAAGGTCAGATTGCCATTAATATATCTTGTTATAGGCAGACAAGTCTCTTGCTAATTGTACAAAACTAATATGGTGTAAGATATCTGCCTTCTTTTTAATCATTAACGTGATATCAGGAACAGTGAAGAACTTCGTCCCATTTTCATTTGCTCAGATATGTGTGTTTCGTTTTATGCTTGCATGCTAAGTACTTGGCAATCCTGTGGTCTCTTTCCAGGTCCAGACTGTGACAGAGTCAGAATCACAGGAAGGTCCATCTCAGATGCCGCCTGCTTTAAGGAATTTCTCAATGTCCCAAAAGGAAAAAACTCTTGATGAACTTGTTCGAGACAACTGGCTTTGCCACACACCAGAGGGTACCATTGGGCTTGGTGCCAGATCCTACCTTGATTTGCGAAGTTGGTTCCATAGTTCTGGTATTCCTTCATGTGAAGTGTGCAATGAAGCTGGAGTAAAGGTTTTGTTTCTTTGCCACTCCTGTGCATGTCATGCTATCTAATCTGCTTTTACATTATGAATTGAATCTTGAATTCTTTTCAGCTGTTATTCTCAACGAAAATTCAACTTAATTGGCTGATGTGAATTAGCTATAAGTTGGAACATTTTTCTGCATTGCTTCTTATAACTGTTAGATGACCTTCTTGATTGGAGGATAAACTACTTGAACATATGTATAGATTGAAAATAGAAAATACAGGATCATGTGCATCATTTCAACACTGGCTAATTATCCCCAGATTGTTGCAATAATGCTATGAAATTTTAGTCTTAAAAAACTAGTCCTATGAACTAAACAACTTACTAACAGTTGCATTAACTATATATATATATATATATATAGGGCTTAGCTGTTGGAACATTGTTTATTGCTCGTATTAAATTCATTGTTTTATTCTAATTCTTTTTGACAGGGAAAAGTGTGTCAAAATGAAGGATGTACAGCTCGAATTCATCATTACTGCCTGGAGAAGAAAATATCTCAAAGCAGGGTATATACTTTATGAATCCATTGTCTCATACCAACAATCAGCAGATTGTCACTTTCACTTCCACTTCGTGAAGTCACTAATATAAAGATTTTGCAGGGTGAAATAGTCTGTCCAAGCTGTGGCATTCAGTGGCATCATGGAGTAGCCAAAACCGAAGTCATAGAAGAAGGGGAGGACCTAAATGAGCCTTCTCAGAGCCGACCACGTACAGGATCCAAAAGGAAGAAGATGAAAGCCAACAAAAATATGGCTGCAGAAACTTTTGGATGTGGTTCCTCCCAAAATTCCCAATCTGGTTCTGGTAGAAGGATCACCCGAGCTTCAGCCCGATCAAGTTAAAAGCTGTCAATTGGTTTTGATAGGAAAATCAATTGGAAAAATCCCTGTATATTTTGCTTGAAAAAGAACTGGCTTCCTTTCTTGGCTAGACGGAGCAATAGCTGTTCATATTTAAAATTTTTTTTGCTGTACAACTATAAGATGCTAGATTATCAGCAGTGTCGACTTCTTCTGTTGTATTTATGAGTAGCTTCAAGTTCTCTGCTTGCCTAGAGGCAAATTATTGCGATAAGGGGGCAAAAAAAACAAATAGCACGTGGAAATTTTAAAATTACATTAAAAAAATCCTTTGAAGATTTTGTTCTTTTTTACGAGTTTTTTTTTTAAAGTGTAATTTCATTAAATCAAATGTTTTTGTGTGTTGCTGTAAATCATTATACACGTCCATAATATTTTTAAAATACTTGATAATTAGTTGAATTGTAATTGTAAATAACAAAAGATTTCTTAATTGTATTACAATCCTCTGAAAAGTAGAAACGAAATTATGATTTTTTATGAAAAAAAAAGTGATTATGTTTTCAATTTTTATAAGATAAATATATCTATTTGTCTTTATACAGTACTCAAAATTTTTTATTTATCTTTAAATTTGCATTTTATATATGTTCTTAAAAATTTTTACAATGTTCAATCTATCATTTCATTCAAATTTTCAGACTATAATTTTTTTAATTAAAATATTCTTTATTAAATTATAAAAACATGAAAATGAAAAGCAAAAATACTTAAAGTTACGTGATTTACTTTTTTCAATTTTGAAGTTTTTAGAATTTTATTATTATTAAAGATCATTAGAAAGATTTTAAGCATCATACAAGAAGAGGAGGAGTATATTCACTTATTTTTAAAAACACCTTTAAAAGGCTAGAAGCTCGAAACCCTTAAGCCAGCCCAAATACTAGAGCGGAGTCTGACTTTCCGATCCAATAAAAAAATGTGTTAGAGGCCCAACTCATGAGCATGCCAAATTATTTATCATAATAATAAAAGTAATAAAAGTTAGTGTCTGTATTTTTAGGATTGTATCAATCAAGTGTATCAAATTTATCTTTTTTCACTTTAATGCCTCAAGTTCTTAAAATCATCTAATCAAGTACATAATCTCCATCAAAATTTTCCTTTAAATAGTTTATGTGGCATTCAAGCAGGCATGTATCTAGTTATCCTTTACAACTATCTAAGAAAGATGATCCTTTGATGCTCGTAAGTTTTTGGATCAAACGATAAAAAATCAATCATAGCCATTCTTAATTGACGATGTTTTTTTATTTTTGTCAAATGGTCTGATCCAAAAATTTACAGATATTGAAAGGTCATAGTTCTTTTACTTGATCTAAAAATCATAGCCATTGTTAATTGACAACGTTGTTGAAAACAAACAAACGAACAGAAAAATTACTTTTCCTAGTCAACTCAGATCATCAAAATTTGAATCTGCGAGAAATCCAACAATTACCTTCTTACCTGGATCCTCACTTTCTCCCAAAAATCTCACCAACAAATGTAACCAAAAAAATCTGCCTCCTTTTTTCTCTGCTTTCCAAGCCCCAAAACACAAAAACAATGGATTTCTCAGCCCTTCAGTCCAGACCTTCCACAGCAGCCTACTTCCCACTCCACCGAACCCAATTACACCCACGCATGCATTCTTTCGCTTCACCCTACCCACCACAACAGCAAAGCACCAAATCCCAAAAAACCCACAAAATTTTGATTGTTTTAGCCACCCTTTTCACCATACCTTTCCTGTTTTACCTTTTTTCTACAGCCCAAAAGATCCACCATTCCTCCAAGTTTGCCAACCCGAATACCCGCTTGTTTAGTGTTGTTATTGATTCGAGTCGGGCGGGGTGTAGAGTCCGGGTTTTTCAGTTGTTAGGGGAGGGGAATGTGGGGTTTAGTAATGGGCAGTTGCCATTGGTTACTGGGTCAATGAAGGTGAGGCCTGGATTGGGTGGGTTTGTGGAGGATCCTGATAATGTGGGTGGGTTGATTGAGGGTTTGGTTGAGTTTGCAAAAATGCGGGTTCCGAGGAGGGAGTGGGGGAATGCTTGGGTGCAATTGATGGTTGGGGGTGAGGAAATGCTGGGTTTGGAAGGGAAGGTGAAAGAGAGAATTTTGGAGGTGTGTAGAAAGGTTTTGAGAGTGTCAGGGTTCGCATTTAAGGACGAATGGGCACACGTTATTGAAGGTTTGTGATGATGATGTGCTTAGCTTTGTTTTGATTGTTTGTGGTATTAGGAATGTAATTTGATCTGGGTTTCGACAATGAGGGGTGTTTAAGTTAGATATGTTGATATCTGGCATTACAAGTTAATTGTGTTAGATAGTAAATGAAATACTAATGAGCTAAAAGGCTGTCTGATCTTGCTATGTATTGATGTGTTTAGTGTAGGCTGATGATAGATTTTGATGTAGTGAGAAGGTTAAGTGGTCTTCAGTTTTAATGGTTTTCTTATGAAAGTTTAATGAGTAATACTGATTTGAATGACATGTTGATGTGGTCTTGAATGCAGAACAAGAAAGGGGTGTTTATTCTTGGGTTGCTGTGAACTATGTTCATGGAACTATGGGAAGTGAACCTCACAAAACCACTGGGATCGTTGAACTTGGTGGCAATTCTTTGCAGGTTCTTTTCTTGCCTCTATTCTATGCTTGTAATTGCTGTCTACAGGGTAAATGAAGTGTAGAGATAGCATAAATGCATTATTTGGTGATTGGCATAATATTGGCATTTTAGTGCATTAATTAATTGTAGGAATAGTATATGGTTTACAATGGGTAACACGTGGTTTAAAATTAGTAGAGTGAGATCAAATGAAGAAATGAGTAAAACAGAAGAAATGAAATCACCTTTCTGCCACCACTCCATGTTATGTTCGCAGGAAGATTGGTTTGCGTAAGTACTCAAACAAAAAGCAGTCAAAAAATGAGATCATGTTTCATACAAGTAGATTATGGGTTTTAGGTGGCTGGTAATACATGATACTACAGCGCCTTTATTTATATGATCTGCTGTGTAATTCTTTTATAAATATAGAGGAATCATAACATTATACCCAAATATTTTTGCTAGGACTTTGTTTGGATATATGTTATTCTCAATTGGAATTTGAACAATGTAACTAATTTGTGCAGATTACATTTGCCTCAAGAGAAGCAGAAAAAGTGCAATCTTCACGAAGGATCAAACTGGCTGGAGTTACTTACAACCTTCAGGCACAAAGCTTACCAAAATTTGGCCAGGTATTTCCCATATGTATTACTTTGCTATTGATCAAAATTTCAAATTTCATCTCTTTTAGTTTCCAATCACCTCTCTGATTGATGTATGCTATAAAATATCAATTTGAAATTTCTGCTAGAAACAACCGTTAACAAAATTTCTTGCACTTCTGCTCTTGCAAGATTGAAATAGAACATCTTCTTCCATATGCGAGGGAACTTGAGATTTTCCATTATAAATTTTAAGACTATGTTTGGGATAGAGGGTTTCAATTGGAAGGGAAGGAATTCTTGCTTGGGAGTTTTTTCTCCATAAAAAGGAAACCGAAGGGGATAGGTTTATCATCTTAAGATGGAATGCCATCGTATGGTCCGTGTGCATTTGCTGCTATTTTGTTATCTGCATTCTGCAACAAATTGGCGTTGCTTTATGGTGTTTCAAAAGGAGTAAGGTTGTAGAAGGCGCCTAACTAGGGAAGACCATTGTTTTTGTGCAGGATGCAGCATGGGAATCATTGCATGAGCAACGCAGCTCTAGAGATATGAGTTCATGTAAGTCTTCGTGCTGAACTTTTCTTTCAGAATACTGCTAGATGAAGTTTGAGTTCTGCAGGCTTCTAAGTCAAAGAGCATTGCTGCTCATACCATATTTTGTCATAGTTGCTTTAGCTACGCCTCTAACTATTGATTCCATTTGTTGTCTAAGCAAAAATTGGGCCCAGCTGTTGTCTTTGACTTGATCAATTGTGATTGTGGAAAGATTTTCTAAGCAGTAACTATGTTCAAAGAAAACTGTGGTTGCTGATTTTATGGGTGTGAGCACTACATTTTCTGATTAACATTGAAGAGGAAAGACTTTACTGTAAATCATGTCTCCTTATATTGCATATTTTACTCTTTTTGGTATTATATTGCATGTACGAGTCCTCATTCTTATGACAAACATTGATTGCATGCATGATTGATGTTCTAATTTCAGATTTGAAAAATGCCCTTGAATCACCAATCATAGCAAGTACCATTATATCTATTGTGCAGCATCAATTTATAGGGAGGGATTTGTTGGTAATCCTTGCATTCCAAAAGGATATGAGCTGCCATCCAATATAAGTGACCCAAAACTTCTGATGTCTCATGGAGCTGGAAATTTTACCGCATGCCGACTTGAAGTTTTGGGATTGTTGAAGAGGAAACAAGGTATCTTCTGCCCTTTCATCTTGATGGGTTTTTGTGCTGTTTGTATGATCTGATCATGTTTTTTTTTTTTTTTTTTTTTTTTTTTTTTTTTTAACACTATTTGACCTGTGCTTTATAACAACTCTTAAACAGAAAGTCTTTCAATTACTTGACCGTTTTGGATATGGAATTTATAGGAGAGAAATATAAACTTGTGTGCAGCTCATGTTAGTATTATTGCAAATATAGGATACTAAAGATGACAATATTTTCTGTTGTTGTTGAATGGACTTTTAGACTAATAGACCAAGCAAAACTTTCTGGCCGAGTTTACTTGGTAGTCAAAGTATGCTTCAAAATTGAACTCCTCAATATCCCATTACATTGTTCTAAGTGCTAACTGGATTAACTATTCTAAACTTTCAACTTAATCCCCTGGCTACCAAGAAAACTGCAACTTCTATTTTTATTCTAATAAACAAAAGATTTCTAAATGCTAGAAGTATTGAGGTTCTAAGCAATGCTCTTGTTATCTGGTATCAAAATATTGGGTATAAAAGTGCATGCAAGTACACATGGATAGTATTCGTCGTAGTTTATCTCCTCTCTGTTCTCTGCATTCTCTCTCACAATCATGCGGCTTTGTCATTGCTGTAACACAATTATTATCTAATAGAGTTATTTATTGTCAGCTGACCTTTTCCTTGCATAAACTGTTGATGTGTTGAAAAGCCTATCTATTCTTGAATTTAAAAGAGAAAAAAAAAACCCTTGGTATTAATTTTTTTTAATTTTGTTCCCTTATGCAGAGAAATGCTTGCGTCCACCTTGCAACATCGTCTCCCCTTTTTTCATGGAGCTACAAGGCAAGCCTGTTTCTCAAGACAACTTATTCTATGCTTCCGAGGTTTGTGAATAATGACATGACTTGAAACTAAGGGCAACTTTTTACATAATTTGAAATGCATGTCATATGTGTACATCCCTTTTTTTATGTACAAAAAATGTACCTATATCCTGTGCTTGTATCCATGTTTGAGTTTTCTCTGCTTTTTTTTTTTTTTTTTCACGTACAAAAATGGTAGGAGAGTGAACATATTGTAAATATTTTGACCTTCTTTATCATAGTAATGCCATACTTAATACATTTTGGATGTCCTACACTTTTTTCTCCTTTTAGTTGCTCTGATCGTTACCTTCCTTGCCTGCAAGCACTAAACCTTGTACAGTTTTTCGGCCTGGTTCCTAGGGTTTCTTTGTTTGAATTAGAGGCAGCTGGGAAACACTACTGTGAAGATGAATGGGATGAACTGAGAGATCAGCATCGTAGCATTGATGATTTGGATCTGTTGAGATATTGTTTCTCTTCTGCCTACACAGTAGCGCTGCTGCATGATGGCCTCGGAATATCAATGAATGATAAAAGGTAATATTGCTTTCCTTGCACCTAATGTATATGTCAATCCTCTCCTTGTATTCTTTCCCAAAACTTGCATGTAGTTCATCCTGGCCTCAGTTGTTGGTTGGGGAAGTTTGCACCCTTCGTTCATCTAGCAACCTTTTTCTAACATGTGGAAAAGCCATAATATGTTGAAATGAGGAATAAGTTAGATGTGGTAGAAGTTTTAGGTCAAAACCTGGCAATCTTGGAGAGACTAGGTCATTTATGACTATTGATATAGCCAAACTTTTCTTTTGAGTTGCAAATGAAGTGTTGTGGTTTGAATTAGTAAATGGTATTTTAGTGTGTGTGAAACTGTGAACGTGCGGTCCAACTTGTTTGTGCATGCATGTTTCTGTGTCGACGGCATAGATGTTTCTGAGTTCTCATCGCCTTAGAGATAACAGCTTTTCTTCAGTAAGTTCTCCTTGATATCCAGCAGCTAGGTGGACAAAATTTTCGGCGTCACTAACAAATTATTTGCATGGACGAATTTTTCTTAATCAAACAGGAGATCGAAATATCAACCTTGTTATTCTTTCTTTGCAGAATTGGATTCGCAAATCACACTGGCAGTGTTCCTTTTGACTGGACTCTTGGTGCTTTCATCTTTCAATCAATGCTGCAGCCTCTTGAATCGGAAATCAATAACCCTGATGAGATTGTTGGAAATCAGTCAGTGACGTATTTCTCGTTATTTGCTATTCTATTAATAGCTTTGCTCGCTGCATTTTTTGTATTGAAATTACGAAAACCACAGTTAAAAACAATATATGACCTTGAAAAGGGCCGTTATATAGTCACCCCTGTGCCCAGATAGTTTTGTCCTTCACCCCATGTTCTTGTTCATGCAAGAATGATATGTAAATTCTGCTGTATCTTTCTGGATTCCATCAAATCATTTCTTGAAATTTATGTGTATGAGAGAGCTAGCGTCAACGGTGACTGCAGTTACCATGTCCAAAAATATGGCATGAACAGCAAGGCATCCCTCTTTTTTTTTCATTTTTTTTTTTAGCGTAGATGAAGATTACTGTTGTAGAATAATTAACATAGAAATACAAATTCCAAATACGCAACATAAATTCAAAAAAAATTAAAAAATTAATTTCATAACGGCTGCATGCTTGACCAGGATACTTAAGACAATTTGTCATATAATTGAAATCTTTTATATATATATATATAAACTTGTTTTTAACATGTTTTATGCCTATTTATGTTTGCTATTAGAGAAATCCATACTCACCAAATAATTAGAGAGTGACTTACGATCTCATAAGGGTGAGCATATATGAACCTAATTGTTTAGTCTGCTAACCTATGTCAAATTAACCATCAAACAATATCCGCTTGTAGTAAAGAAGGTTGGTTTTATTTGATCAAGAGCAAAATTTTAATTTTCATTATCCATCATTAAACATACACAATTATTCTTTAGTTGTATTAAATTTGACAATGATCGGATCAGAGACCGGTTGTATGATTTAAAGTAAAAAGTAATACAACAGTCTATCTAAATTATGTTTGTTCTTGCACTAGGTTAGCTTAGAAAGTAATGAAAAGCAATACAGCAATTGATCAAAATTATGTGTTCTTGCATCAGTTTAACTTACAAAATAGTGGACTTATCTCGGTTAATGCAAAAACTAATCCGAGGATTCCTCACTATTTATAAAATATATTTATATATATATATAAAAAAAAACCTTATTCTTGATTAAAAATTGAAGTTTGTGATATATATATATATATAAAGAAAGTTTGTGATTAGCTGTTGATAATTAATCTTTAATTTAGTTGTTGATGATTAGTTTATTCGTGCTGATGTTTGCAGGAAGAAATGAGAAGCTTGGCGTTGGAAGCAGATCTTTTTTCAAACAAATTGACTCAGGTATTACAACTTTTTCCTCCTTTTCTTCGCTCTAGGGTTTGGAATATATATATATATATATATGGTAATCTCTGGTTTATTTCATTAATTTATTACATTAATTTTCTATAATCAGGCTTATGGAACGTGGCTTCCACATTGGCCTGCAGCTCGTTTGAGTTATTTTCAAGTAAGTTGTGTAACAAATCATACTTTATTTTTGGTTAGCGGTAAAAAAAATATCTTCTATTTGATTCTCAAGTAATTTGAAGAATGCATCTATTAGATAGATTTTATGCATTCGGATAATTGAATAAATTTATAGCTAGCTTAGATATTCGAATTCATGAAGTCATGAAAATTGGAAAATTTTTATCAACATATCCTTATATGATGAGGGCAGTCTCCAATATATCTTAAAAAAGAAAAATCAAAGCAACAGAACCCTTTGTTTTTCTTAATTTTTTTTAAAATTTAACGGTTGTTTTAAGGAAATATCCAAAAGAAATTGACAGTTTTTTTTTTAAAAAAAAAACCCTAAATTTAATATCAAAAATTAAAAAAATCTAGAAATGTGATAAAAATATCACAGAAAATAAAAAAGAAAAAAGAAAAAGAAAACGATTAAAAAAGAACTAAACTAGATCAGTTTTGGTTGGTTCTTGAATCATGCACGTAGGATTAATTTTTGTATGATCGATTTTTCCTTTTATTTGTCTTTAACATTTTTTTTTTTAGTAATTAATCATAGACTTTGTTAAAAAAAAAAAAAATAATCTAATTTTAGGTTTTTGTCGCTAATTAAAGTGATTCAAGGGCCTTTTGAACATTATATTAATAGATATATTGGATTTAATGAATATTACTACCATGGAAGTACTAATTGGAGATTTTAGTAAAACTCATTGTTCCTTTGGTTTGATTTTTCTTATTACGAATTTATTGAAGAATATTTCTATTATATAAGAATATGTTGATCCATTTTCTTAAAAACATTAAGAAACGAACCAAATTTTCTTGATTTTATATATTTTCATCCTGTATTAAAATTTAGTATCTGGTATAATTAATTAGCTAGATCTCAAGTAATTTTCAACAATTTTTAATTTCCTTTTTTTTTTTTTCTATTGATTAGAAACAGATTATTGAAATCAATGAGCTAGTGAAACAATCTCTCACAGCTATGGAGATGATCTGGTTTTTGGTATGTAATTTTTTTTGCTTTTATTAATTTTAATTTTTTTTACATATTTAATTTTTTTAACTAGAATTTTATAAATGTTTATAATTGAATAATATTATTCCAACGCTAAATACTATAATCAACTCATAGTGATTGAATTTGTTTGATGCAGGCCGGTGCATTGTTGCCTCTACTTCTTATCCTGGTGTTTAAACTTCTTTTTCCTGTCTTGAGGTTAGTTTTATTTATAAATATTATCTTACTTTTTATAGGTTCGTAGCAATACCAATGCATCTTCCGTATGGTAGATATTTCTTTAAAATTATTTGGAAATAAGATTTAATTTTGCAAAAAAAAAAGAGAGAGAGTTTTTTTTATGTAAATGCTACGTTCTATCTCTTAGTAAATTCTTTGGAAAATGATTCGGTCTATCCTTATATAATCGAGTAAGTTTTTTTTTTTTTTAATTCTTATAAAATAATTGAATTTTCAATCTATTTGTATGTTATTTTTTTTTCCATTCAAATTAACAAAATTAATTAGTCATCCACGGCTTAATATTACATTGAAAATGTTAGTTACATAACACATGACAAAATAAAATAAAATAAAATAAAATAAAAAATTCAAATGGGACTAGGCCTTTCTACCCTATCTCCTCCCCTCTCCTCTCTCTTTAGTGACCCCCTCCTCCTTCTTCAAAGTTGTCTTTTTGGATGTAATATTTTGTCAAGTGTATGATTGATTATATTATTTTGGATAGAAAAAAATAATAAAACGATATATTGAAAAATCGATTAATTATTTTATCTAAATTGATTGAATTAAGAATATAAAAACATATTAAAAAGTCACTCTATCGTATAAAAACCCAAGACGATGACTTTGCATTGGACTGGATGTAACAATATCCGATTCAAATTTTCTGTTTAATTTGTCATAAGATTATCTTTGTGTTTTATTCAAATAAATTCAACACTGCATCCAATCTCATTTGCTTCTATTTCAAAATACAATAATCTGTTTCTGACTCGTATGCAGTGAAAAGGCCAAGGAACATCCTTATATAATCCAGTTATGGAGCAAATTGGAGTCATGACCGTGCCCATGTATAATGAAATGTCATGGTCGTGGAACTTTTTTCTTTTAATTTTCTCTCTTATAGAAAGATTGATCTTTCATAAATTGTATATTGCTTTGAACTTTTAGTCAATATTTCAGAACTAGAGCTTCAAACCTAGTTGATATTTCAATTTCAACCATTAGTCGGTGGGTTCATAAGTTACACTTTGTCCATCAATAGTCAAGCAAGAGTACTTATTTTATTCGATCTAATAAATACATGTTAAAAATATTTAATGACCATTAAAGTGGATATATATATATATATATATATATATATATATATATATATATATATATATATATATTCATTTTATATTGTATTTATTGCTTACGATTTTTTTTAAATGAAATTAATATGTAAGAATCTAATTGTACAAAATTTATAAATTAAAAATCAAAATATATTTTATGAAAAATTTGAGGATAAAAAGCATATTGATTGTAAACACTAAAATAATTTTTTTTAAAAAAAATTAGAATGGCTAAATGGAATGTATTAATCAAGCAATATGAATTTAGTAGGTAATTTTTTATTGGATATAGATGGAGTATTTTCTCAACGGGTAAGATAAGTGATTGGATTAATGACTGGATTTCCGTCCAATTTCTATCCTCACTTTTGTCATGTATTCTTATAAATTATATGTCCGATAAATTTCGGCTTGGTAATACAAAAGGTTTGGACCAAGTTAGTCTCATTAACAAAATAAAGGGGTGAAATGTTTCTTACATAAGGGAATCTTGGCCCACTCTAGTTCATGAAGTTGGTTACCAGATGGGCTTGGTCAGCCCACAAGAGAAAACAAGATATAAAGAAAGGGCCTTACAGTGAAGATAGTTTGGGTTAATAAGCTTGCCCATCTCAACTTGCCTATTTATTATTGAAAATATATCAATAGTTTAAATACTTAATTAATAAAAATGGATTTTGGAATACTTAAGTTAAGAAAATTAATAAAATAATATACTCAAAATATATTTTCTCTTACCTAAAGTCTCAAAACAAATATTCTTCATTAAATGACTAAATTATAAATTACTCCCTCTGGTTTCAAGAAACAAAATAATTAGTTTCCCTTCTTCAAAAACTAATTTAATTAATATTACTTTATTTCAAAAAATATCTTTTTCCTCACAATCTTTTCATGATATATAATAATTATTTTTTTACACATTTTTTTAAAAAAGAATATTTATATATAAGAAAAAAATTAAATAATTAATTTTTTAAATTAAAAAAATAATCAATTTATTTTTCAAAACTAATTGGACTAATTTATAATTTACTCGTCATCAAATTCGAAAATGGCCATACCAGATTATTTAATGAAGTAGAATCCATGCATTAAGTAGGTTTGTACTTTGTATTAATACAAATAAATACCTTACAAAAGACTCTTATAAAATTTGAAAATGTTGTATACTTTTTTTCTTTATCCAATTAAAAATAAAAAAAATATTTCTCAATTAGATTTCAATCTATCCATCAATTCTTGATTAGGTCCCTAAAGGATCCACAATTCTTCTATCAAGTCCACCGCTAACATTTTTCATCATTTTAAAGAAAAAAATAGACAACATTTTAATAGAATTTACATTAAATGGATTTCCCAAGATACAAATCACATGGAGCTGCTAATCATATTAGATTTTAACACATGTAATAACACTAGATTTTACATATGATACATGTCCTGAGCGATTACAAAAAAGTAATAATTTTAGAAAAAATCAATCGAGAAATATCTAAGATGAAATTGATGAATTAATTTTTTTGGACGAGACTGAGAATCAGATTATACACTAGCTGAGATAAAATTGATAAATTAATTGTTTTGGATGAGATTGAGAATTGGATAATACATTAGGGATATAAAAATAAAGTTCCTCCAAAACCATTTCAAAAAAAAAAAAAATTGAACGACTGATGGACGGATCTACTGAAAAATTGAGTAAAATATAAATTATTTTCCCTAGTTTTAAGAAATGAATAAATAAATTATTATCATTTAATTTTTTTTATTTAATCATTTAAATTAGTATTGATCATATTTAATTTAACATTAGTAATTTTTACAAAATTTCTTATTTTATCATCGACATTTTTATGTTTTTTCTCTGTTTTTCCTTTCTCCTTTTTCTTATTTATCAGAAAAATCAAAATAATTGAAAAAAATAATAATTAAGTTATAAATAGATTTAAAAATATAAGTACTAAGGGATTATTTATTGAAAAGTGAGGGAGTACTTAATTTGTTTCTCGAAGTGAGAAGGACTAATTTTTAATATACTCCAGAAAACCCAGAAAGAACGAGAAAAGCGAAAAAACTCACTCAAAAAACACAGAGCAAAAAACAAAACCCTAGTTCCCTCCCTCGACCTCGACCTATACCTCTACCTCTCCCTCTCCCTCTCCCTCTAAATCTGCAACAATGGCAGCCATGATGGTAAGCAATCTACTCTCCTAGTTTCGCATCCAATCTGTAACTAACTAACTAACTAACTCAGTAACTGACTAACTGAGTGTTTGTGTGATGAAATGAGAGCAGCAACCGCAGATCATACTACTGAAAGAAGGAACCGACACGTCGCAGGGCAGAGCGCAGCTAGTAAGCAACATAAACGCGTGCACGGCGGTGGCGGATGTGGTGAGGACGACGCTAGGACCGCGCGGGATGGATAAACTTATCCATGACGATAAAGGAAGTGTCACCATTTCTAATGACGGCGCTACTATTATGAAATTGCTTGATATTGTTCATCCCGCCGCGAAGATCCTCGTTGATATCGCCAAGTCTCAGGACTCTGAGGTAATTAATTAATATATATTTTAAATTTTTGTTGCTTTTTAAAATTTTTTTTGTTCTTATTGATCTTTTTAAATAATCAAGATGTGAAACCTTTTTTTGTGGTTGAAAGTGTGGTAATTTATTTTTTATGTCGTTTGAATTTACTATTAATGTGAATTTTCAAGCGAATGTGATACTGGAATGTAAGCTGGGAGGTGGTGACTCGCTTTTTTGGCTAGTGAAGAGTATTTACTTGGAGAATTATAGTGGCAGAACTGTTTTGTTAAGAATTAATTACTTGTAAATGCTATCGGTCAGAAAAATTGAGAAGTTTTTGGATGGGCTAGAGGAGGTTGTTTTGGAAATTTATTGTATTTGCTAATGGGAATAAGATTTTTCTGACATTTTTTTTACTATTTGTTAGATGCTTACTTTTTGAAACTCCAAGAGCATTGTCTGAAAGAATATATGGGCTGTTTATTGCTGGTGATTAAAGTTTAACCATTTCTTTTGTTGTGCTACAGGTTGGCGATGGAACTACTACTGTTGTTCTACTTGCTGGGGAGTTTTTGAAAGAGGCTAAACCTTTTGTAGAGGATGGAGTCCACCCACAAAATTTAATTCGGAGTTATAGAACTGCATGCAATTTGGTATGGGATTGTTTTAGTTGTGGTTGATGTATTGGGACTTGTTTTCTGCCATCTTAAATATTGAAAATGATGTTATAGGCAATTGAGAAGGTCAAAGAACTAGCTGTTAGCATAGAAGGAAAAAGTCTAGAAGAGAAGAAAAGCTTATTGGCTAAATGTGCTGCTACAACACTATCATCAAAACTTATTGGTGGTGAGAAGGAGTTCTTTGCATCAATGGTTGTGGATGCTGTGATTGCGATTGGGTATGATGATAGGCTAAATATGATTGGAATAAAGAAGGTAAATGCATATGCTTTTGTTCCTATTTTTTATTCTCTTATTCTTCAAGTTGTTATGTGATAATTGGTAGTTCTTTAAATAGCTTAAAAAACATAGAATTTAGGAAATCATGTGGGTTTAATTTTGAAATGTTGTTGAGCACATTTTATAACGAGAGCAATTTGTGGCATTGATAGTCATTTGGGTTAGAAATTGTCAAGGCAGCAACATGAGATTCTGAACTTGCATATTGAATTATCCTTGTATTTTTTATTTGAAAGTATTTGCTCATCATCTCAAAGGTTCACTCAGATTGTGGTGTTATGCTGAGCTGGTGGCTCCATATGATGAAATGAATTTAGGTTGTCAGTTTGGCAATCTCTTATCACCTGGAGGCCACCAGAGCTCAAAGCTAATCTACTGTTGAATGAAGTTACTAGTTGCCTGCCCCACCTCTCTGATTGGAATCTGGCTGATTTTATGCAATTGTCACACTTCAGCAGTAGTTCTTTTGTTTATTTTACTTGTAGAGATGGCTAGATGGCTATTCTTAGTTATGAGAAGCTCTAGATCTTGGTCGAGTTCTGCGATGTAGGTTAATCCTCCATTAGTCAGCTTTTTGGAATACTCTGCCAACCAGTTATTATATGGATATGTGGAACTGTGTCTCTGTCTCTCTCACTCTCCTTTCAAATGAGTGATTCTGAATTCTATTCCCTCACAGAGTTTCGTACTATAGTGTGCGTAAGCTTGCATGTGATACTTCAGAATTGATGCACCTCTTTTGTTACTTGTTATTGAGTAAAATTGTTCTGAGTTATTTCCATGAAGTTTGGTCATTTATTTACTCCACTTTTAAAGGTTGGGACATTCTCTCAAGTTGAGCCTTTTTGTTATAAGGCAGTCCTGTGCCATTGATCTCCCATCCCCTCCTCACTTATTTTTTCACATATCAGCCTTTTCTTTTATTCTTTTGGATAGAAGTCTGATGTTGGTTCAAGATAATTTTCTGACATTAGCATATTTTAAAAAGTCTTGATTTCCTTGAGTGCATCTGTGTTTGCTTCACAGGTCCCAGGCGGTAATATGCGTGATTCATTTCTGGTGAATGGGGTTGCCTTTAAAAAGACGTTTTCTTATGCGGGGTTTGAACAGCAGCCAAAGAAGTTTTTAAATCCCAAGATACTATTACTCAATATTGAATTGGAGCTGAAATCTGAGAAAGAAAACGCGGAGATAAGGTAGGATTCTTTTTTTAAAACGTACATTCCTTTAATAACTCCCCTACTATTTCGGGATCAAGGCATAGTTGTTGTTGTTGACAAATCTTTTAAGAGCTGATGACTGGAATTCATGCTGCTACTTTTCACATGCTACAGGTTGTCAGATCCATCTCAATACCAGTCCATTGTTGATGCAGAATGGAATATCATTTATGACAAGTTGGATAAATGTGCACAGAGTGGGGCAAAAGTTGTTCTTTCACGCCTTGCAATCGGTGATCTGGCAACACAGGTGGGTGCCCTTTTGTTTCCTAAATGCTTTGATTTATTTCTGAGGTTCTGAGCTTTGGTTCTATTCTGAAAATGGATGACATGTATATCCACATTGGGAGTTTTTGGTTAATTGTTTATGTGTTAGTTTTGTGTACTCGATTTTTTTGTCTTTCCTCTCATAAAAGTGTCCTGGAATCTTTTATTTTTTCTATTTCTTTTGGATCAATAGTGGTATATTAAATAGATACTCTGTTGTAACAGTATTTTGCCGATCGAGATATTTTCTGTGCTGGCCGTGTAAGTGAAGAAGATCTGCAAAGAGTTGCTGCTGCAACTGGTGGAACTGTGCAAACAACTGTCAACAATATAATTGATGAGGTTTAACGCTAAATTGATTTGAAAAAATATGTTCAAAGTTTTGGTTGTTAGTACATTATATGCTTGTTAACATTCCTTTTCTTCCTTAATTCTCAATTTTCATTCTTGTCTGTTGTTTGGCCGAAAGGTTCTTGGGACTTGTGAGGTTTTTGAGGAAAAGCAAGTTGGAAACGAGAGGTTTAATATTTTCAATGGATGCCCTTCTGGAAAGACAGCTACGATTGTTCTTCGTGGTGGAGCTGATCAGGTAGGTCACTGTTGAAATTGCGGGCAACTGTTGTGCATTGGCTTTATTCTGACTTGGGTTTTCTCTATCTATCATTATCAGTTCATTGAGGAGGCTGAACGGAGTCTACACGATGCGATCATGATAGTTAGAAGAGCTATGAAGAACTCAACTGTAGTTGCTGGTGGTGGTGCTATAGATGTATGGATTCTATTATGTGTGATGCATCATGATTATATATATCTGAAGACATTTTGGCTGTAGTGACTAAATTAGTGATTTGCATGGCAGATGGAAATAAGTCGGTACTTGAGGCAGCATGCTCGCACTATAGCTGGGAAGTCTCAACTGTTTATCAACTCTTATGCAAAAGCCCTGGAGGTAATTCGCTAGTAGTGTAGTATTTTTAATTGTGACATGGACTACCTTCATGCATATGGTTTAAAATTTGTGAAAATGACCACCGATATTGTGATCTTAATAATCTTGCTTAACTAGGTAATTAATTTTGAGCTTGTCATAGGTTATTAAATCTTTTGAAGATTATGCTATTGTAAATTTTACCTGCTATGTCATATGGGTGAAAATCCACATCACAATGTTTTTCCCATATTGTTAATCATACCTGTTTTTTAGTCCCTGTCCAATGAGGTCATTCTTCCTGGTGATTTTGTGCTCAGTTGTAAATCAACTCAAGATGTGTAGCAGATGAGTCCAACTTCCAATGTCGAGCATTCCATGTAACTGTATTTCCCACTAAGCCCCACTTAAAAGTAGAACTTTGCAAGAGTTACATAGTCTCTCGCTCTCCCTGGTTAACAAAATGAGATCTGGGAGCTGTTTATTCAGTGGTGATGTACCGCAAAACATTTTAGATTAAAGTATGGGCGTAGATTACAAACTTAACAAGGTATTCTGCACTTATCTTGCAGGTTATCCCGCGACAGCTATGTGATAACGCCGGGTTTGATGCAACTGATGTGCTGAACAAATTAAGACAGAAACATGCACTTTCATCTGGTAGGTCTTCCTTTTCACATGTTGGAATTGCCTTTTGAAATATGCTTTGTATGGCCTTGCTTGAATGCTTTTAATAGTTCTTACTGTTGATAAACTGGCTTATGTCAATGGCTTTGTTTAGCAAATCTTATGTTTTTTTTTCACTTACAATTTGTCTTTTAAAACTTCTGAACTTTTTTATCAGGTGAGGGTGCACCTTATGGAGTGGATATCAACACTGTTGGAATTGCAGATTCATTTGCGAACTTTGTTTGGGAGCCGGCAGTTGTGAAGGTGTGTGCCATCTTCAATTAGTTGATTAAGAATACTGATTATGGATAAATTATTTTGTTTCTTTTTCTCATTACTGCCTGTTGACCCCTGTGTTATTGAAATCCTTGACCCAGATTAATGCTATAAATGCTGCTACTGAGGCTTCTTGTCTTATTTTAAGCGTGGATGAGACAGTAAAGAACCCCAAGGTAAAGTTAATGCTGCTAGTTTATGTGTTGTACAAGTGAAATATGCTATAATGTAACACATATAAAGGTACCTTTGTCGCCCAGTACTAGGAAAAAAGTGTTTTAAATGTTTGCAAGCAAGTTCATTTTTTTATCAGATTGTAATTTGGACTGAAGTCCACTTATATGAAAGAGCTTGTGCCAAGTTAATTAGTGTCAAATGGCATGAAACCCTGACTGTTTCCATCATGTTTGATGTTGCAGTCTGAAAGCGCACAAGGAGAAGCAGCTGCAGGTGCTATGGGCCGTGGACGTGGAGGAGGTGGTTTCCGTGGCCGTGGACGTGGGATGCGAAGACGATGAGCTCACTGGATTTCAATTTGTTGGGATTGTTGGTGGGGAATTGAGTCCAATTTTTGTTTTCTTGGCTTCAGTTTGTGATGGGGTTTCAAGTTGTAGTATCAATAGAACTGAACTGCTCAATCTGAAAATGTTTGGAATTTTGATTCCGAGTTGCTTTGCTATTTGAAAGTTGATCAGTTCACTGATGGTAGCTTCTTTCTGGATTCTGGCTGCAGCTTATTTTCGCCGCGTTCTACGACATTGGGTGATACTAGATTTGTCTGTAGGAGATATTTTGTAATTTAAGTTTCCTTGCTTGCAGAGGAAATGGTAAGAGGCAATAGAACTCGCTCTTTGTTGCATGGTGGAGCTTTATAATTTTGGCTGTGATTTTTTATTTTTTATTTTACACCATTTTTTGGCTCTCCTTTTTATTTGTTTCACAACTACCGAACTCAAATTGCATCCAACTTGAGGAAAAAAAAAAAAACAAATTGTATGAGAGTTTGACAGAAGAGGGTCGCATCTCATCATCGCTTATTAGAAACCTACGGAAGAATCATGCTGTGCCTGAAGACAAATTTGAAAAACAGATCAAAGTCCCAAGACCAATTTGTTCTTCCTATCATCGTTACTGCAAATTATATGCACAACAAACCAGAAGCTTAGCAAACCAAAATGTTCATCCACTACACAATCAGTGCATGAAGCAGCAGAAGCAGGCATTAAAGGGACCAGAAATCAGTGTTGATACTTTCCAATTTCATCTTCAACTTCAAGTTCTTTTCCTTCTCAAAGTGTAACTCCTCCATCAGACTTTCAATCCTTTGCACCATTTGTTCCTCTCTATCAGCCTCTCCTCCAAACTGAACCATCATATTTACTACTTGCCTTCTCTGCTCATCCAATCTCCTCTCTCTTGCCACTAGATTCTCTAACAGTTCTGTCTTTTGATTAAAGCCCCCAACAATTCCTGCTGTTCCACTCCTGTTTGTACCAGTATGATCTTGATCTCCAACTAAACCCTTCAAGTCTCCAGACCCTCTTGACGACTTGCTGAACCCAATGTGCTACCTGGATTGATAATGGATTCACCTCCAAAACAAAATATTTTCACAACTGCATCGTCTTCTGACTCGGTACAGAATTCTGGGTCAAGCGGGAATTCACCATCATTGAATTTCCAGCCACTGATCCTTCTAGTCTTCACACTTGGACCCACTGATACAATATCAGTACCAGCAGTCATCTGGCTTGATGTCCCGTAATGTAAAGCCTTGGCTTCTTGGAATCTTTTTTCAACGTTAGGCAACCCATGGAAAATCTCGTTGAACAACGTTAGGCAACACCTGATCAGCAGAAGGTCTCCTTGAAGGGTATGGATCAAGACAAGAAGCAACCATATCTTTGAATTCTTTAGAAAACTTCTTGTTCTTGAAATCTTTCTTGTGCTTCTCATCATGATCATAATCAGAGAACCCAAACCTCTGCTTTATCTTAATGATCAAAGACTTTGAAGAAGGAATCAGGTGAGAGAAAGGAGGCCCACCATGGGCTAATTCCAATGCAGTAATACCAAAAGAACATATATCAGACTTGAAACTATAACCTGTAGCTAAGTCTTGTATAACCTCTGATGCCATCCAATATGGGGTCCCTGCAACATCAGTTAACCTCATTCTTGATGCGGAAGACAATGAAGATGATTTCACAATGCTACTTGAGTCGTAAATCGAGACCGGCATGCCAGAATCTTCAAGTTTTATGCTGCCATTATCTGTGTGATATAAAAGAATGTTGCCTTCCTTGATGTCTGTGTGTAAATGGCCTTGATCATGAAGATAACGCAATCCCTTTAGGGTTTCTTTGAGAACTATAGCAATGCATGGCTCTAGTAGGCCATCAGGGAAACAAGAAGAGACTATGGATCGGAGAGAACCAGCAGCCATGTAAGGCATAATCACCCAAAGAAAAGTGACCATCAACGAAAGAACAATGGGGTGCAAGAACTTTAGGGCGTGAGTGCAGTGACATGGTCATGGTTTCACGTCTGAGACTATCAAAATCGGCTGGAGAATATTGTTCAAAATCAATGCGTTTGATTGCAATCAAACTTGCTTGCCTAGCGTCATAGTGGACACAAATTGCTTTGTGAACTGTGGCACCACAACCACCACCAATCTCATCCAAGATTATGTATTCAGCTGGCTCCATTGGGTATTGAAGTTGAACCTTTCTGGATTCTTGATCTAGTTCATCAGCCATGGATGGAGCTGAAATTGGTTTGATCTTGATCTTGAATGGGTTTAATTTGAGATATAAATTTTTTTGGTTTCTTGAATTGGGCAAGGAGTTTTAGGGAGCTTTTCTTGATAATGAGGAAGGTTAACTTGTTTTGGAAAAAGAAAGAAAGTAGGTATTTTGCAGGGTGGTTTTCTTGTGAAGTCTCAGGTTTGACATGGAGAGAGAGAGCAGTGATTTATCTTTGAGAAAAGAGAGTGAGAGGATGCATGGCATGGGAAGTAACAGGATTGCAGACTGCTTCTTATATGGCAGGGAGGGCTAAAGAATGAAAGTTGGCAAAAATGTACAGAGCAAGGAACATGGATTTAATTTATCAGATTTTCACAGATTCCATCCAAATATATATATGAAGTAAAGTGTTGGGTGCTATTGGCCTTCTCAAAGCCGAAAACACTTACAATTATGTGCTGATTCATCAACTGGTGTGGGCCTTGTGGCACCGGCACCTAGCCCTTTTGGTAACTTATATGAGATAACCCAACAGAAAGCAAAGTGTGAAAGACTGCTCTTTTGAGAACTCAGTTTGGTTGGTTCTCAGCTAAAGCTTGCAGTAATATATCCTTCACTGTTCGCAGGGAAAATTTAACAAAACACAAGATAGGAACAACACATTTCCAGTGAAGATTCAGAACAGGGATTATGGGAATTATTGCTATGAAACAAGAAATGGAGACGTTAACAATGAATTGAGCAAAGAACAAACCAAAAATGTGCTCCAGCCTCGTAGGCTATCGGGGCGATTATTCAATACAAATCATCAAAAGATTGAAAAAAAAAATGAAAGTAAAAGACAGGAGGAATAACAAGGAGAGAATGGTAATGAAGCCAATCCTCAAGCTAAGGCTTAGGTGCAAGACCAGCCTTGAGAGCTTGAATGGTGGCAACATCAGTCTTGAAGGCCTTAGCCAAGATGTTATCGTCTATGCCGGTGGCGAAAAGGGTGGTAGGAAGTGACACAGTTCCTGCACTAGCACTTCCGAAAGCAGATATCGCCAAAGCTGAATTTTGAGTATCAGCATTGTATTGGAAGTGGACAAGCCCCTTAGGGAATATGAACATGTCACCAGGCTGTAGAGTCTGGGTGAAGAGCTTGTTGGTAGTGTCAACGAATCCTACTTGAAGAGAACCATCAACAAGGAAAAGGAGCTCAGCTGAGCGAGGATGAGTGTGAGGTGGATTGGTTGTGCCGGCCGGGAATTGAAGGGTTGCATAAGAAACACTTTGGCCGATAAGAGCAGGGAATTCAGCTGCACTTGCTTTCAAGACCTTAAAATCTGCAGGTTCTGGTCCACCAACAAGGGCACGCATGCCAGTGAATGTGAAGAATGCTCCATCAACTTTGGTTACATTTAGAGGGACTAGAAAATCAGAAACAATATCCGGGTCTCCACCCATTGTGGTTTCGACAACGGCAAATAAGGCTACTAGCAGTGACAGGAACTTGAAGGTGGAAGAAGCTGAGGCCATGGTAAAGAACTTGATGTGAAGAGGGTAGAGAGCCAGTAGAGTCTAGTGTGGTATTTGTGTTGATGAGCTTGGTTTTGAAGGATTTATATAGAGGAGAAAGTAACAGAAAGGCAAGCATGCATGGGCAGCAGGCACTTAGACAATAACAATGGATGAACATTACAATGTTCTTGTCAATAGTTTGATTTCGTCAAATGCATAGTAAATTAGTCCCTCTTGTTTCTGGAAATGAATTAATTAGTATCTTTCGTTTATAAAACTAATCATTTAATTCTCATGGTTTTAAATTTATTTGTAACTTAGTTTTTTTCCTCCTTTTTGTAACTTAGTTTTTTTCCTCCTTTTTTATTTATTTTGATTTTTTTTAAGAAACAAAAAAATGTGAAAAAAAAAATTGATAAGAAAAAAAGACATTTTGTGAAATAAAAATTATAAATTAAGCATCGTCAATATTGGTCAAATAACTAAATAATAATTTTTAAAACAAAAAGAACTAGTTGATCTTTTTTAAAAAAAAAGAAAAGAAAAGAAAAGTAAAGAGACTAATTTATAATTTACCCACAAAATGTTTCATTAATGACAGACTGTCACTGTCGCAAACATTGGTATATTCTTTGTAGTTTGATATAACTATTTGTACCGAAGTGAGAAATGCCAGCAGCAACAAAGTTTGAATTGTTTATTCTTTGTAGTTTGATACATATGCTTGTTAATTAAAGCAAAATGAGAGAGTAAATTATGAATTAGTCCTTCTAGTTTTGAAAAATAATTAATTAGTCTTTTTATTTTAAAAACTAATTAATTAATCTGTATGTTTTAAATCTTCTAGTAACTTAATTTTTTTTGCTCTTTTTTAATTTAATTTAATTTTATGAAATAATAAAAAAAAAGATTGACTAGAAAAAATGGCGTTTTATTAAATAAAATAATATTGCATAAAGCGCATTGAGCCGTAGTTAAATAGTTAAATAATTAGTTTTGTAAATAAAAAAGACTAATCAAGTTATTTTTTAAAAATAGAAGGACTAATTTCTAATTTACTCCAAAAGATATAGAACAAGGAAAAAAAGTTTAGACGCCCGCTTAGGTTGTTTCTGATGGCGTGGGGAACGAACATAAATTTTCTTTTAATTTATTTTTTAAAATAAATTTATTAATACTGTTTATTTTTTATAATGATTACACATCTTTTATAAATGCAAGAAAAGATAGCGCGTGTCTATATATATATATATATATATATATATATATATATATATATATATATATATATATATATATATATATATATTGTGATGAAAAAGAAAGAGAGGGAATGAATAATTGAATTCAAGAATTTTCCATAAAACCTCAAAATTTTTGGAGAAATTATATAAAACAAAAACAAAAATGGAAAATTATTATTATTATTATTATTTTGGTTCCAATAGAAAATTAATTAACTTTTGTAAAACTGAAAGCAAGCCCGGCCTGAAGTGGGCCGCCCATTGGACACTAACTCATTCCTGTGTGTAAGCCTACCCTTAGCTGTACCAGGCCCAATTCAAACAACTTAAAAAATCAATAACTAACGACCCCTCATCCGCTAGTAGCAATCATCAGAGGCTCAACCTCCAACTTGAAATTCCATGATTCAACAATCAAATATCAAATCACCATCAAATTTTTCAACCCCGGATCGTTAAGCCCTTAAGAAGTTGTTTCAAATGATAAGGAAAAGACCCTTTCAACCTGACTTCTCGAAGAAGTGGCATATCTACGTTAAATTAGCCTCACTCATAGAGATACGAACAGATCATGAAATCCATATTTGAACAATCAAATATCATATCAACGTTTAAAATTTAGTTTTCAAATCCGGACTGTTAAGCCCCTGAAAATTTAGTGCAGATGATAAGGACAAGAAGCATTCAACCTGACTTTCTTGAAGAAGTAGCATATCTACATTCAATTAGCCTCATTCGTGGAGGTATGGACAGACCATGAAATCCATGAACTTCATGGCATGACCAAAGATGCAATTAAACAGCATGTATAATAGGCCTTGGCATATCTTCAAACCCCAAAATCTTTTCTGCTGAGATCACAAATCCAACAGTTCATGATCTCTAGGGAGCCATTTCATTCGTAAAAAAGAATTTTCGTAAAGCTAAAGTATGTTTGTTTTGAATATCAATGCGGGATTCAGATGGAATTTTTAGCAGAGAGTGATCCATATAGACCTCCTCTTCAACCTATGTGAAGAATTTTAACTAACCAGTCTCGCATGAAACCCATCAGAGCTGGAATTAATTAATGTAGATACTCTTCTTAGAGATCGATAAGACAATGGGGAAAAGTGAAAGAAGCATCATCAAAGGCTCAAAACTGAAACTGCATTTGAGCAGTGTATCCAAGTTCATTTAGGTGAGCTGCCATGGCCTTGTTCATTGGTGGAGGCCCACACCTCAAAATCTGCACAAGGAAGGTTATTGGTTGTCAACTTTAGGGAGGGGAGGAGGGAGGGACAGAGGGAGATGGCATGTTTAGAAATTTACTTGAACATCAGTTGCTGGTGGAGGGCAGTGGGATTGAATCATTTCCTTGGATACGAACCCGATGCCACCCTCCCATCCTTCTGGTGGCTGAACATGAAGTTTTGACATTAATATATACACAACAATTAGAAGATAGCTTCATGAAACCAACAAATCATGCATTTTGATGAGATTTAGAAACTCTTACATTGAAAATGAATGCATCTACTATTTATGGAGCATCTAGAAAACTGCAAGAGTAATCTGGTTTTCCTTTTAATGGCCACATAAAAACCATCTAGCAGCTCAATGCGATTTGCAGTTACTAGTTTTGTTTTATTAGCAGTCTTATTAAGATATGCATCTTTCTACATGGTATGGAAAACAAGTTTGCTCTTCAACTCACTTCAGAAAACAGAAAAGCAAGCATTTCAATAAATAACTTGGAATCTAAGAAGTGATGCAACTTAAAAGATATAAAGTAAGAGAGAGAGCGATTGCGAAAGAAAAAGTTAAGAGTTGGAAAGAAATAGAAATAACTAATACCTGATTCAGAACATAGTAGACGTTAAATCGGTTAGGAAAAATGGCTGCAAGATTATCGATCTCTTCCTGCAAACAAGCAAACAGAATGGAGTTATGCTTGGTTAATACATCCGCCAAAGAAATGAGAGAGAGAGAGAGAGAGAGAGAGAGAGAGAGAGAGAGAGTTACCTTCAAAAGAATGTCCTCATATGTGACATTGGCATAAATAAGATGAATGTTTGTTTTGTCATTTGGGTTTTCTAATATGGCTCTAGTTACCTAAGAAACCAAAAGAAGAAAGATAAGTAGTCAATAAATGAAACTAATAATTTTATCCAGCTGCAAAATAAGAGATTGTTTTTAAAATATATACTTGGAACATGGGAGTAATTCCAGTGCCTCCCGCAATCATTCCAAAAGCTCTGACTTGGTTAGGTTGATACTTGAAACGCCCCTAGAAAAATCGTATAGATACATCAATGACCAATCTTTGTGATAAAGTTTCTGACGAGCAACTACAATGTGATGCAAGTTGTGCTAACTGACAAGGTTTAAAAAGTTAACTGTTGAGAAGAAACCCAACCATTTAAGCAAAGCAATGGCAGAAACTGTGTATTTATGGCACAAAATGTTGCTCAAAAGCAGAAAATCAATTTTTCTACGGTAGATAAACCCAAACTCGCTTAACAAATACCGAATTGATTTTGATAAACCAACTGGGAATAGTGAAAAATCCTAAGGCCAAAAAAAATGCTACTGAGGAGAGGGAATTGTTTTACCTTAGGCCCCTTCACAGCCAAGTAATCACCTTCACGCATTTCACGAAAGTGGTGGGACATCCTACCTTGTGGATACATCTATTACATGAAAATGAAATCAGGATGGCAAACCAAAATAGAACTGTCTTATAACATAATGAAATGCACAAACAATACAGTCTAGAATCAATCAACCTTTATAACCAGTTCAAAGTATCCAAGATCAGAATCCAAAGTTGTTGGAGTATATGGCTTGGCGACTTCTTCACCAACACTATCCTTTCCTCTGTTAATAAAAAGGTTCAATTAAGTTATTCATGGAATCAACTCGTATAAAGCAACAAAAATGGACTTCGCCAATCAAAAAATGCAAACCACAAACCAAACCTGCAACTCATATGTTGTCCAATTGGCAGTCCCAAAACTGAATCCGGCGTGGGAAGTGCAAATTTAAACTTAGCCACATTATGACTGAGTTCGGTTCTCTTAACAAGTTTATATTCCTTGAAATTTTCAGGGTCCAAGCAACCTATCAAGACATGCCAAGACATTAATCAATTTGCACGAATCCTGATTTACACCCACAAAGGTTTAAGCTTTGACTCCATAACCAGAATAACCAATTCCGCATTTACCAATCGTAAGGAGCTAAGTTTGCAAATAAGTCTAAATAATCTCCAATCCTAACAAATGAATTCCCCTCATTTTGAATGAAAATTAATCAAATAGCCAATAAATTTGAAATCTTGGGCATTATAAACAAATAATAATCAAACCATCAAAGGAAAAAAAAACAAAAAGCTTCGAACTTTACAAATAAAATGCAAAAATAACAACAACCCAGATACCAGAATACAAAAAAAGAATACCCTTAGGCTTCTTGGTGATGTAGAAATAAAAAGCAGTGCCAGCACCAATGGCAACAAGAGCCACAGCTATGCTTATCATTTCCACTCTATGAGACTGTAAAATTTCCATTTTGGATCCAACAGAGAGAAAAGAGAGAGGGTTTTTGCTTCAGCTTCTGCCTTTCTCTTTCCCTCTCGTAAAACTTTGGCTGTCTGGTGGATTGAGGAATCAGGACTTACTCATGTAGGCTGCGTTTGGTAATTTATAGGGGTGCATGTGAAATTTTAGAAAGTCCTTGCTGCAGGTGATAACAGATCTTGAATTTTTGATATGGTTGTGTAAAGTACACTTT